TCTTGGTGGCGATCGAAAGCGTGGGCCAGCCCCGGAAGTTGCAGCGCTAGCAGCAGCTGCTTGAACGACCTGCGGAGGTGGCGGCTTGACGATGTACCCGAATTGTGGCGGGTTTGAGCTCGATTTGCTTCTGGGTTCGGCCTTGTTCAAACCTCGCGGAGGCGCCTTGTACCCGAATGCACTCTGAGTCCGAATAGGAGATCTTGCTCGTGGCGGTGATTTCCTCGGAATATCTGCTTTTGCCGGTACCGAAGAAGCTGCCCTGGGGATTTCCTTGGGCAATGGAGGCTTGCTGCCAAAAATGACCTTTGGTGCGGCCTTTGGTGGCGGCGGTTGAACTGCTCCAATTCTCCGGCTGTGCAACGCGATGGGCTCACGTCGTAGCGCCGAGGCACGTAGGCCCCTGCCCGTTCTGATGGATTCCGCGTCTTGCGGAGGTTCCTCTTCCGAGCTGTAGGCGTCGAGGCGGAAGTGCTCCGCCGGCGCCGGGCGTCGATCAGGAGATCGTGATCGCGAGCTCGTGGATGATCTTCTTGGGGGATCTCTCCACGTCTCGTCCGCGAGCAAATACGGATCGGCCTGACGGAGTTGCCTAGACGTCCGTTGTGCTCGCCGATGAGATGCCGCCTCACGTGGCTGTGAAGCCTCCCGAACAAGTACCCAGGTGCCGTGCTCGTCAAATCTAGTCACAGGGTATATGCTATTCTGTGGAGCCAAAACGATGGGCCGTGTGGCAAGGGAAGTCCTGGATGGCCTGCCCTCCCGCGCAAGCGCGGGTTCAACACTATGTGCCCGTTGTTCCACAGGGGTAGCAGCAGTTGGTCCTCGTCTCGGAGTCGATGATGGAGACCTCGACCTTCGGGGCGATGGGGACCTCGATCTTTGTGTTGACCGTTCCCTGCTGCTCTCCGCGTTTCCGCAGCTTTAGCGTACACCCCGCGAAGTGTTGACTTGGCGGCTTGTCTTTCCTCTGCAGATGGCCGGATGCGAGGCAAAGGAGTGCGCGAGTCTTGCAGCCAGGAGGAAGCCGAGGGAGGCGTCGGAGGGCGTAGCCAGTCCGCTGCACTGCTCGTTGCTTCCGCCGCGCCTGAGGCTGCGGCTTGATCCTGAGATGGCACACCTTGCGGCAAGACCACACCTGTGGTTTCAACCGATGCGAGACGCTGCTGATAAGCGTTGTCCGCGGCCTGGATCACGTCGAAGGCCTCTTGGTCAAAATTCCACAGGTGCCAACTATCCAATGACTCACGCCAGGAGAAGAGCGCCTCGACCTGTTGCTTCGAGGCGTCCGCAAACCTGATCCACCGGAATCGTCTGTTCTGCCGCTTGTACTCGTCGACGACGATCTGTTGCAGAGTATTGAATAAGCGGGCACGCGGCCCTTTCCCACCGCGAGTGCCGCGGTGAGGGCCGGCTTCCATGTGCGACCAACAGGTCGCAGTCACGGAAGGGTTTGTTTACCCGAAAAGCGTTACGGCTGATAACCACTCAAAGGAGAGGGAAACACAGTTTTGTCAACAACGGGGGAACCCGGGACCTTAAAAGGAACGAACCCCTCCGTGACTGCGACCTCTCCCTTAACCTTGGGGTTAGCGCGAGCAACGCGCTGTTTTCAGCACTTGAGCCAAAGCAGTGATTGGATCATGCTCTGGCATTGACTTGAATGTACAACATGCAACTGACTACATGGGAACCTACCTCATGTACCTCTGGGCCATAAATGTCATCGTGATAATTGACTAATTGAATCATCACTTTCTGGATCAGTAGCGGGGGGGTTGGGGGGGGCGGCAGCCCCCCCCCATGATGATCGAAAAACTGATGATTCAATTAGGGGCAATAAATCTAAAAACCAGCGAGGGGGCGTACAATCTAAAAAGTAGCGGGGGGGTTGGGGGGGGCTGTCGCCCCCCCGCGATGATCGACAAAGTGAGCATTCAAATTGTGGCCAAACATCTAAAAATAGTGGGGGCGTTGGGGGGGCTGCCCCCCATGATGATCCAGAAAGTGATGATTCGATTAGGGGCAAAACATCTTGAAGTGGCGGGAAGTTCGGGGGGGGGGGCTACCGCATGACCACAAATGTAAAAGTAGAGGGGGGGTTTGGGGGGGGGGTGGCAGCTCGATGATCAAGAAAATAATGATTCAACTGGGGCAAAAAATCTGAGAAGTAGCGGGGGGGGGGGGGCAGCCCCCCAATGGTGATCGAACAAGTCCCCCCCCATGATGATCGAAAAACTGATGATTCAACTAGGGGCAAGAAATCTAAATAACCAGCGAGGAGGCCAAAAATCTAAAACTTCCCCTTAGATTGTTTGCCCCTAATTGAATCATTCGATCGTCATGCGGCAGCCCCCCGCCCAACTTCCCCCGCACTTTTCGATTTTTTGCCCCTAATTGAATCATCACTTTCTGGATCAGTAGCGGGGGGGTTGGGGGGGCGGCAGCCCCCCCCATGATGATCGAAAAACTGATGATTCAATTAGGGGGCAAGACATCTAAAAACCAGCGAGGGGGCAAAAAATCTAAAAGGTAGCGGGGGGGCGGGGCCCCGCTGCCGCCCCCACGATGATCGAAAAAGTGAGCATTCAAATTGTGGCCAAACATCTAAAAATAGCGGGGGGGTTGGGGGGGCGGCAGCCCCCCAATTAGGGGTAAACAATTTAACAAGTAGCGGGGGGGTTGGGGGGGGCGGCAGCCCCCCCCATGATGATCGAAAAACTGATGATTCAACTAGGGGCAAGAAATCTAAATAACCAGCGAGGAGGCCAAAAATCTAAAACTGCCCCTTAGATTTTTTGCCCCTAATTGAATCATTCGATCGTCATGCGGCAGCCCCCCGTCCAACTTCCCCCGCACTTTTTCGATTTTTCGCCCCTAATTGAATCATCACTTTCTGGATCAGTAGAAAGTGGGGGTTGGGGGGGGGTTGCCGCCCCCCCCATGATGATCGAAAAACTGATGATTCAATTAGGGGGCAAGAAATCTAAAAACCAGCGAGGGGGCAAACAATCTAAAAAGTAGCGGGGGGGTTGGGGGGGGCGGCAGCCCCCCCCACGATGATCGAAAAAGTGATCATTCAAGTTGTGGCCAAACATCTAAAAATAACGGGGGGGTTGGGGGGGCGGCAGCCCCCCCCATGATGATCCAGAAAGTGATGATTCAATTAGGGGCAAAACATCTTGAAGTGGCGGGGAAGTTGGGGGGGGGGGGGGCTACCGCATGACGATCGAAAAAGTGATGATTCAAAAATTCAACTAGGGCAAAAAATCTGAGAAGTAGGGGGGGGGCAGCCCCCCAATGGTGATCGAACAAGTGACTATTCAATTAGGGGTAAAAAATGTAAAAAGTAGCGGGGGGGCGGGGGTTGGGGGGGGGCGGCAGCCCCCGCCCAGATGATCGAAAAACAGATGATTCAATTAGGGGCAAGATAAAAAAAAAAAACAACAGCGAGGGGGCAAACAATCTAAAAAGTAGCGGGGGGGTTGGGGGGCCGCCCCCCCCAGGATGATCGAAAAAGTGATCATTCAAGTTGTGGCCAAACATCTAAAAGTAGCGGGGGGGGTTGGGGGGTGGCAGCCCCCCCATGATGATCCAGAAAGTGATGATTCAATTAGGGCGGGGGACGATCGAAAAAGTGATGATTCAATGAGGGGCAAAAAATCTACATAGTAGTGGGGGGTTGGCCCCCCCATGATGATCGAAAAAGTGATGATTTGAATAGGGGTGGCATTTCAATTGAAAGGGGGGCAAGAGGAACTGAGGATGCAGGAAGCCACGGCCAATAACGCAGAGGATGCAAAAAGCAAAAGCCAGAAAGCCGCCAAAAGCCACAAAGCAAAGCCAAAAAGCCACCTGAGAGAAACTGGTAATGCAGAGGATGCGAAAAGCCAAAGCCGCAAAAGCTGCATAAACCCAACAAAAAGCTGCAAAAGCCAAACAGAGAGGAACTCAAAAGACCAAAGGATCAAGAGACCAAAGGACCAAGGGACCAAGGAACCAGAGGACCAGAGGACCAGAAATGCAAGGATGAAGGGACCAAGACCAACAGAACAGAGGCCAAAGATAACCAAAGGAGCGAGGGACCAGAGGATCAAGGGCTCCAGGACCGGGACCAAGGGACCAGGAGACCAAGACCAGGCACCAAGGGACCAGAGGAGCAAGGACCAGGAAAGTGGAGGACCAAGGGACCAAGGGACCAAAGGACCACGGGACCAAAGGACCAAGGGACCAAAGGACCACGGGACCAGGGGTGTTGAAGGAACCAGAAAATCAAATGCCAACCAAAAGAACAGAATATACAAGCAGCAGAGTGAGATTGTGGGAAGTTTTTTTTTGATTGCTAAAAAAGTTTTTTGTTGATGGCTGAAAGTTTTTTGTTGATTGCCAAACAAGTTTTTTTATTGATGGTCATCCCTAGCTTTGTCTTTCTTTTGAGGAGTCTCCATATGGCTTTGTCTTTGTTGTGGACCTGGCTCCCCATGGGAACTCTCGATCAGGGCGTCAAGCAAAGGCACCAACAGATACGTGTTTTTGTGTACTTGAACGGTGACAGGTCGCTTCGTTTGCAGGGTTTCATTGTTTTTTGGTCGACGTACACAGAGTCTAGAGGAATCACAGATTTGAGACTCCTCGGGCTGGGAGGTTGCTTGTTCTTGTGACGCTTCATCGGGACCATGTTCCATGCTTTCACTACAGGATGGCTGAAACGGGGTGGTTGATTTACCCGAAATGGGCACCCTGGGTGTTCGTCTACCTTGTGGCAATCACAAAACCTCTATTTGCTAAAGAACACGTCTCATACGTCCAGTAGTCGTAGATTCCCATTAAAACCAACAGGAGCAAAGCACATATTCTTAAGCACATGGAAGAACATGAAGAACATGCACCCCTTAAACATTGGTCCTGTTTAAATATGAACCCCTTAAACATGAAGAGTATGAACCTTCCCATTAAACACAAAAACAACATGAAGCCGAATCTAATTGAGTCAGGCACACTTGGCATGCCGGATGCTCCGGCCCACGCACTGGTTCACAGCCTTCATGCACCTAGGCCCAGATCTTTCCTCACCCAACAAGAGCCTCACCTACCATGGCCCAAGGTGATGTTTACATATTACCAGACGAAGAAAAACAAAGGAACTCTGTTCCACACCATTTTCAGACATGGGTTTTGGAGGCACGGCTTGTCTTTTTTGTATATATATGTATATCCATCTATCTATATATATATACATATAGGAACCACCAAAAAGGCAAGTTTGTGCGGCAGCACATGACGGGTTCATCAGTGGTACAAAAGGGCTCCATTCCTCCAACACCCGCACCTGAAATTATCTGGACGTACTGTGGATGGACAAAATCCTGCATCACTTTGAAACCATGGAAAGCCATTGTTTGTTGGTATTTACAGGGGAATCATCATTTAAGGTTTCCTTAGGTGGTGCAGGATTTCGTCATTTTGCCTCTCTAAACGCCTCCAGCGGCACTTGAAGTCTCGCGTTCTGCGTGGATTGGCAAGACGAGTAACCAAACTGCTTGTTTGCCAGTAACATGCACTCTTTCTCAAGAGTGTCAAGTCCAGAAAACAGAAGGAAGAGACACGCCTCCCTCCATTGCTTGAGTCCCTGGAAAAACAACAATTCCACTAGTGATGGATTCCCTTTAACACCAACAAGGGAACAAATCAACAACAAACAATCTTCGGCAAATGGAAGCCTAAATTTGCCAAACCTGGTTGACATAAATCGGTGCCGATTCCCGTCGCCTCTTTTTGCGAAACCTCGGCAGCGCGCGACAGCGTTGCTCTGAGAGTCGCACTTGCCAGTGTAGTAGTCTCGCCCAGTAAGAGAACCTGATCAGCTGGCCCACACACACACACCGCAACCTCCTCACAGGCTTGCGTGTGCTTTCTTGGAAGGTGACATTTCAAAACTTGGTGGAACGGGAAGCCCAGAGGAAGTGGCTTTTCCTTTCTTTCTTTTTGCTTGGGGGGGGGGGCTTTGTTTTTGACACATGCGCATCGTGATTCAATTCACCAACCTGCATTGAGAAAATCACCCCAACATCTTCATGGGTGATGTAGATTTGAGCGACCAATACCGATAAGATGACTATAAAGGTCAAGCTTGGCTAGAACCCCAATTAAACCAGGTACTAATTAGGACCACGGCCCGTTTGGGCTTTGGGCGATGCTGAATTGGGGTTCCAATCCAAGTTTGTGGCCTGCGAGGCTTTCCTGGCAATACACCCTCACTTCTGATTGAGTGGACTGGCCAAAACATGCTACCCTCCCACCAAACATGAAAGCGCACAAAGCTCCTTTTTCCATGAGAAAAGTAGTCTTTCCACGTCTTTGCACTTCCATGCTAGTCGGATAAACATTTTTGTTTGCCACTCAAGTTTGTCTTCCCAAAGGGCCAGTCGGGCCAGTCCATGAACTCAGGGAGTGAGAGCCGATCCAACCCAGTGAGACTAGCGACAAGAGGAGTGGAGCCGCACAAGCGAACACTTCAGCCAAGACATCCAAACAACCCATCCAAGTGAACCAAAGATGTCCATCACAATCTCCCGTGCGTTTCTCGCGGTGCCCGAAATATCTTCACTTCTCCTCCATTTGCTGAACTCCCAAATACATCCTGCAATAAAAAAAAGATTCCCTTTAAAACCAGGGGAAAATAACAAAATTATTCACCAAACGGAAGTTATAATAATTACTATAACTTCCGTTTGGTTAAGGATTTGTGTTATTCTCCCCTGTTGGTTTTAAAGGGAATCGATTAGTAATTAGCTAGGCGCTCTTTCGCCCATCAGTCTTTCAAGAGCCCTCCGGCTCCCCAAGCCACGCTCGGGCTCTCGAAGCACCCATAATATCATAGGCAGCTAGGCAGCTATTCCAGAAGAGATGTGCTTGAAAGAGGTATCACTATCCAAACCATATATATATATATATACACATAATTGTTATGGTTTGTCATTATCATTAGTATGATGATCATCATAATGTGCTAGGTTATGTATATGTTATTTGTGCTGCTATTTATTATTGCCATTACTTTATTATAACTATTATGATTAGTGTTATTGCTAATGCTATTATCAGTACTACTACGATTATTAGCGGTCTGATGATGATTAACGTTATCATTGTTATGATGATGATGTTGCTTAATATTTGAACATACTCCAAAATATAACATCATTGTTGAGGCCCATAACTTCCATTTGCTCAAGCCCCATGGACAGTACACTATTTCCAGTAGTGATAATTTCCATTTAAAACCAACAGGGGAAAATAAACAATATTCTTAACCAAATGGAAGTATATCGTTGTTCAGGCCCAGAATTGAGCTGGTGCAAATCCCACCCTTGCCAATCGGTCGCTGAAGGCCTTGTTCCCGCTTGGCGCATGCGTCCAGGAAGCGCATCCTGGCGAAACACCATCCCGACTGTCCTTGCTGCGCACTCTGAGGGTGTCTTTGTTAGGAAACACCGCCAAAAAAAAAAAGGTATAACAACAAATTGTGGTTTTCCGTTGGTTTTCCTCTAAAACCCACAAAGAAGGGGGGCAACCCTGAAAAAACAACGCACACCCATGACGCTCGGCTTTTGGTTCAACACGATTTTCCATTGTGCTGTGGAAACCATGAATAGTACGTGTAGACAAAGGGCCCCGCGAAGGATGTGGAGCCTATGCATTGACTAGGGGCTTGTCTCAAAATTCTGGGCTAAGACTTTCTCACTCCCTTTGCAGGGGTGGCCCCAATTTGGCACAGAGACCTGTTGAACTGGAATTTCCCCTTTGTGTTTACAAAAACAGGGCAAAAAGTAAACAGGTGTACACAACAAGGTGGGCAGTTTGAATTTTGAACAACGGCTTCCTTTCCATCCTGCTAAACGGAGGTCATGGCTTGCACGCCTCAAATCTCTGTCCTCTCAGGATGTTGGAATGCTCTTAGCGTCAATCCTCAAGCGAAAGGACCTACATCACGGGTTTGAGTTTGTCTTACCCCGAATCAGTGAGCTCGCCATAAATACTACCGCGGGCCCGGCAAAGCTGTACCCCCTGGTCACGTAGGCAAAGATAATTCAACCTAGTGCCGTCTCCCGAATTCCTCACTTCCTGAGTGGATGAGCCAAAAAAGTCCAAACTTGTTGCTCCAAAAACCAACACTTACCCCTTAAAACTCCAAGCCCTGGGAAGTTAATCTTTTACAGACATATAGCCCATGTTACCCAGAAAGTTGAAAAGCTTTTAAGAGGTAAGAACAATCAAGTGGACCTCGGGGTTTGTGAGATGCGGATCTTCACTGGGTTTGGGGGGGTCCACCGGCTTCCCAAAAACGGGTAAAGGGCAACTGGCAGATGAAGTTTTCAGCTGGTTTCCCCTTCGGTTCATCAATTTACGGGCGGTTTCTTGATGGAAACTGCCACTTTGGGGGCGTCCAAAAAGGGAAACCCTGTAGTTAGTCTACCCTAAAGAAATAAACCGCAAAAAACCGGCATTCGACATGGCTCCGAAACCATGTCGTGAGTCCAAATACACCAAAATAGAACAGGCTCTTTTGATCGAAGAAACCAAACGACCTCAAGGCAGACGGCCAGCGCCGGCAATTTCGGGCAGAGCCGCTTCTCCAGCATGGCCAAATCCGAGGCATTGGGGTAGGGCAGTCCGATCACCTCATGGCAGCTAGGCTAGCAGGCTATGCGTCAAATCCAAAACCCTCCCCCAAAAAACCCAGCGGCCGATTGGAAACTCCAATTCAACCAATCCCCCCAAAGAGTGAGACTTCCCCTATGTATTTTTGGAGTTTGGGATGGTCATTGACCCAAAAAGTTTAGACGATGACAACAGTTGTAAGGATTCGCAGTAAGAAAACTATGAACATGGCCAAGATAAACACCTTTGACCCTGGCTTATATGGGTATGTGTTTGGACCCCGAATTAATTTGTCCCCTTGGTTTCCCTACAACAGGAAGCTTGCCTTGGCCCAAGAGTCGAGCTTGAAGCCGCCTTAGGATAAATAGAGCTGGAACCAAAGACAGTTTCAAATTGAAATGCTTTCATGCCGGGCTCAGAAGATCATCTTGTGCGCATGCATCCACGTGTAGCAACTGATCAATGTGATCAACGGACCAGTAGGCGAAAGCGAACCAGGTAAAACTTGAAATGGGCAAGCTAAATATGGCAGTGTTGAGGGGATTGGCGCAACGTAGAGTCGGAACCCATCCAGCTGAAATGGTGTCAAGGAGCAAAAGTGCAAAAGCCCCAGGGCCTTGAAAGGGAACTCCAAAGGAGTTGAAGGCTGGGCGAAGCCTCTCGTGCCACGAACTCGCTCGCGAATAGTTGGGAACTCAGGGGCTGACAGCCACCAAGCGGCAAAGATCATCCTGGCGTCTCTTGGTCCAAGTGGCTGAGTGGTTATAGCCAAGTTATTGTGGTTGTACAAGCAATGTTGACCCCGGATTAATAAACCCCAAGTAGCCCGTCATCTCTTACCACGGTCACGCAGTTCTTACTACGTGACCGTAGTTTCTACCCTCGAAGTTGGCGTAGAGGCAAGATACTGCAAAACGTGAAGCAGGCACCCATGGGTAAGACCAGGGCATGTCAAAATATCCTTGTCTGGTAGGGAATTCAACCCAGCTTTGTGGAAATTCTAGGGCTGGTTCGAACAAATGGGTTCCTTTCGCATGCTGCGCACATTGTTTTTGAGTGGACCCTCCACATAATCCGATTAGAGGACCTAATCCACAGTGGGATGGTCATCCAAGGACTGGTAAGTGTGTACAAACTTTATTGGAACATACTTACTTGAGGGCAACCTGCTGTACGTCCAGAAGGGCTTACGTTGGCCCTAACTTCAATTGTTTTTTTGGTCCCGCCCGGGTTCGAAAAGGGTACCCTGAAAAGACGCCGCCGTGTGGTGGTCTACCAAGAGGCTTCCCCACATACTTCACCCTCAAGCATCACCCCGCCAAAAGGAAGCTCACTTCCAATTGGCACAAAAAAGGACCGTTTAGGGAACCCTGCGAAACTGGAGTTTCAAAACATGTCAACGCTCAAATACGTCAATCATGCAGGTTCTTTGGGGTAAGACTCTTCAGACTTGGGCTGAACTTCAGTGCGGCAAAAAACAAAAAACACTTTTCGGCCGCTCTTTCCGAAGAAGACCAAGCCATCTCTGCGCGTATCTGTTCCAAAAGACTGCCCTGAGATCTCACCTGGAGAGCCCAAAAAATGTTAAGACCTCAAAAGTCTTGCATCTGACTTGATGCCGCAGGATTAAACCCCTGCTTTATGGAACTGTTCCCAAGTGACAAAGCCCCCACTCAAACCGGGGACGCCCTCCCTTTCCCCCCCGCCCCCCCATTTAATATATAGGATGCCGCCCCCCCCCCCCGCCATTTAATGTATAGGATGCCCCCCCCCCCGCCATTTAATGTATAGGATGCGCCTCCCCCCCCCCCCCGCCATTTAATGTATAGGATGCGCCCCCCCCTTTAATATATTAAGTATTGGGTTTTCGAAGCCTCACTAAAACCCAGAAAGCCCTCCCCCCCCTAAATCCGCCGGCAACAGACGGCGTGTTGGACATAAAAAATGCTCCTTACCTCTTTACCTCTTACCCCCCCCTAACCCCTCCCCAGAAACACCATTTCAGACTATCGTGGGGGGGGGGGGCGGCCCACGTACCACGCGGTGATTCGAAGACGCTTCACTAAATCTGTTCGATTCCCCCCGGGTGCGCTTTTGCATCCTTAGCAGCTCCAGCGGCGCATCGCCAGCATCACCTGCATCATCCGCATCAGCGCCTGCCAAGGATGCGGATGATGCAATTGATGCTGGGGATGTTGCCCATGCTGGTGAAGGAAATGAAATGAAGGGGGGAGAGGGGGAAAGGATCTCAACAGCGAAAGGGGGGGAGAGGTCTCAGGGAGGAAAGGGAGAAGATCTGGGGAAAAAATGCCTTAAGGGGGAAAGGGGGGAAAAGATCTTTGGGAGGAAAAGGGAAATCTTTCTCGGGGGGAACAGGCCGGGGACACGATCTCAAACGGGAAAGGGGGAAAAAGACTTTGGGAAGAGAAGGGTGGAGATCTTGGGGGGAAAAGGCCTTAGGGGGGAAACGGGGGAAAGGATCTTAAGCTGGAAAGGGGGACAAGATCTTAGGGAGGCAAAGGGAGACGAACTCAGGGAAAAGGACTTAGGGAGGAAAGGGGGGGAAAGATCTTTGGGAGGAAAAGGGAGAAGAACTGAGGGTGGGAAAGGGCCTTAGAAGGAAAAGGGGGGAAATAAATGATCTCAACAGGGAACCTGGGGGGGGGGAAAGATCTTAGGGAGGAAAGGCAGAAGATCTGGGGCAAAAAGGCCTTAGGGGGGAAAGGGAGAAATGATCTCAACAGGGAAAGGGGTGGAAAAGATCTTAGGGAAATACAGCGAGAAGATCTGGGGAAAAAAGGCCAACAGGGAAAGGGGGAAAGATCTTAGGAAGGAAAAGGGAGAAGCTTTCAGGGGGGGGAAAGGCCTTGGGAAGTAAAAGGGGGGAAAGGATCTCAACAGGGAAAGGGTGGGAAAGATCTTACGGAGGAAAGGGGGGGGAAGATCTTAGGGAGGAAAGGGAGACGATCTGGAAGAAAAGGACTACTTAGGGGGGAAAGCCCAACAAGGAAAGGGGGGAAAAGATCTTCGGAAGGAAAAGGGAGAAGCTCTCAGGGGGGGGAAAGGCCTTAGGGGGGAAAGGGGGGAAAGGATCTCAGCGGGGGGAAAGATCTTAGGGAGGAAAGGGAGAAGATCTGGGGACAAAGGCCTTAGGGGGGAAAGGGGAGAAATGATCTCAACAGGGAAAGGGGTGGAAAAGATCTTAGGGAGGAAAGGGAGAAGATCTGGGGGAAAAAAGGCCAACAGGGAAAGGGGGGAAAGATCTAAGGAAGGAAAAGGGAGAAGCTCTCAGGGGAGGAAAGGCCTTAAGCGGGAAAGGGTGGGAAGGATCAGCAGGGCTAGGCAGGAAAAGTGGAAAGGCCTTAAAGGGAAGGGGGAAAGGATCTCAACGGGGAAAGGGGGCAAAGGATCTTAAGGAGGAATAGGGAGAAGATCTCAGCGGGGGGAAAGGCCTTTGGAAGGAAAGGAGGGAAAGGATCTCAACAGGGAAAAGATCCCAGGCAGGGAAAATGCCTTAGGGGGGAAAGGGGGAAAGGATCTCAACAGGGAAAGGGGGCAAAGGATCTTAGGGAGGAAAAGGGAGAAGATCCGAAAAGGCCTTAGGGGGAAAAGGGGTCAACAGGGAAAGGTGGGAGAAGATGCTAGGGAGGAAAAGGGAGAAGATCTCGGGGGGAAAGGGGGACAGGATCTCAACCAAGGGAAAAGATCTTGGGGAGGACAAGGGAGAAGATCTCAGGGGGGGAAAGGCCTTAGGGTGGAAAAGGGGGAAAGGATCTCAACAAGGAAAGGGGGGAAAAGATCTCAGGGAGGAAAAGGGAGAAGATCCGAAAAGGCCTTAGGGGGAAAAGGAGGAAAGGAGCTCAACAGGGAAAGGTGGGGGAAAGAGGGGAAAGGACCTCAACAGGGAAAGGGGGCAAAGGTTTTTCTAGGGAGGAAAAGGGAGAAGATCTTGGGGGGGGAAACGCCTTAGGGGGGAAAGGGCGGGAAAGGATCTCAACAAGGAAAGGGGGGAACAGATCTTAGGAAGGAAAAGGGGAAAGATCGCGGGGGGAAAAAAGGCCTTAGGGGGGAAAGGAGGGAAAGGATCTCAACAGGGAGAGGGGGGAAAACATCGTAGGGAGGAAAAGGGAAAAATTCAGAGGGAGAAAGGGCCTTAGGGGGGAAAGGGGGAATGGATCTCAACAGGGAAAGGTGGCAAAAGATCTTAGGGAGGAAAAGGGAGAAGATCTCAGGGGGGGGAAAGGCCTTAGGGGGAAAGGGGGGAAAGGAAAAGGGGGGAAAGGAAAAGGGGGGGAAAGATTGTAGGGAAGAAAGGGAGAAGATCTGGGGGCGGAAAGGGGAGAACTGATCTCAACAGGGAAAGGGTAGAAAAGATCTTGAGGAGGAAAGGGAGAAGATCTGGGGGAAAAAAGGCAAACAGGGAAAGGGGGGAAAGATCTAAGGAAGGAAAAGGGAGAAGCTCTCAGGGGGGGGGGAAGGCCTTAGGCGGGAAAGGGTGGGAAGGATTTTAACAGGGACAGGGGGGAAACAATCTTAGGAAGGAAAAGGGAGAAGATCTGGAAAGGCCTTAAAGGGAAGGGGGGAAAGGATCTCAACAGGGAAAGGGGGAAAAGGATCTTAAGGAGGAATAGGGAGAAGATCTCAGCGGGGAAAAAGGCCGCCGGGGGGAAAGGGGGGAAAGGATCTCAACAGGGAAAGGGGGGGAAAGATCTCAGGGAGGAAAGGGAAAAGATCCCAGGGAATAAAAGGCCGTAGGGGGGAAAGTGGTGGAAAGGGAGGAAAAGGGAGAAGATCTCAGGGGGGAAAAGGCCTTAGGGGGGGAAAGGGGGGAAAGGATCTCAACAGGGAGAGGGGGGAAAACATCTTAGGGAGGAAAAGGGAAAAATCAGAGGGAGAAAAGGCCTTAGGGCGGAAAGGGGGAATGGATCTCAACAAAGAAAGGGGGCAAAAATCTCAGAGGGGAAGGGGGCCAAGGGGACAATTCCAAAGGGACGCAAATAAGAAAGCAGGCCTGTAACGTCGGCGGCCTGAGCCGGAGGCGTTAAAACATATACGATGTATCATGATACTGGGTTCCCCCCCCCTCGCCATTTAATACATAATATGTGTATTTCCAAGATTCTAAAGTTTACAATAAATAAAAGATAGTGATGGAAGGACGAGTCTTAGAGGCGAGGCGTGGAGTCACTGTGGAGATGATCCTAGATTCTTCATTCAACGGCGTGTGGTAGGGAAAGAGCGCCGGGTGAATGGGTTTGTAGGTGATATTTCTCTTGGAGACGGCTTATGACGTAGGAATCACCGGCGAAGATAGAATGCTTCTTGGATGACTTCTTGGAGAACCCCCCCCCCCCCCCCAGCCATTTAAGGCACAGGATGCCCCCCGCCTTTAATATATCAGTATTGGGTAATCGAAGCCTCACCAAAACCCAGGGAACCCCCCCCCCTTAAATATATAGGATGTATCAGAATCCGGTAATCGAAGCCTCACTAAAACCCAGGGAACCCCCCCCCTTAAATATAGAGGATGTATCAGAATCCGGTAGTCGAAGCCTCACTAAAACCCAGGGAACCCCCCCCATAAATATATAGGATTTATCAAAAATCCGGTAATCGAAGCCTCACTAACCCCCCCCTTAAATATATAGGATGTATCAGAATCCGGTAATCGAAAAAACCCAGGGAACCCCCCCCTTAAATATAGAGGGCGGGTCGGCATGGGGGCTGAGTTTTTCAGATTCCTGGGGGCTGAGTTTTTCAGATTCCTGGGGGCTGAGTTTTTCAGATTCTTGGGGGCTGAGTTTTTCCATTAACAACACTAAAAAACACCAAAAATTATACGATCAAGACTCGTGACCTCTTAGATTTATTGGGGTGCGTTTTTGTTTTTTTGGCTGATGACATGCAAGCACAGATTCATTTTCGATCCAATGAAGACTCAGATGCATCCAGACCTGGAGAATGAGCTAGCTTCAATCTGCACAGAAGACGGCCTGTTGAGAACTATTTTGCACAAATATCATTGTTGGACACAAATATTTAGCAAACGTGTGTCTGTAGCTTATTTTTGGATAATTGGCATGCTTACGCATGCCAAGTTTACAAACCTCAGGGTGCTAACTTTTGGAAGACGTATGTTTGGCACAAATCTTCAACACAAGTTGCATACGTATGCAATATTTTGGAAGACGTATGCTTAGCAATCTGCAAGCGGATGTATGTTTGGGACAAATATGATTGTTGTGTTGCAATTCTGAAACACGTAAGTATGGCAAGCACAGCTTGCCACGCATATGAAATCATAAGAAAGGTAAGATATCACTGATCTATGCAGCTTTCAGCTGCAAGACTCATCTCTTTTTACAGTTGGATGTTCAATATGTTTCAATATACGCATGGGCTCTGCCCATGCTCTTGAGAAAAGACAGCTAACACAAACCTATTTATCGCATAATGAGCTGGAGCAATTGGAGCACAGCTCCAATCTAGTTGCTTGAGCTCAAGAAACACAAGATGCAAAGATGAGCACCTGCAACGATATCTGCAGATGCAAATACCATTCTCTGCATAAAGCTGTTCAGCTTTGGAATAAGAGCTTTGGAATAAGATTCTCTGCAGCTATTCGTGTTGCTGAAGAGCTCTTGCAACAGTAAAGCTGTTCAGAATAGATTCAAGTAGACACAAGCCACAAGCAATTGCTTGTGATGAGATGCTACCTGCAGAAGATGAAATGAGAGATGAGATAAATTATCTCCAGTTACCTGGAGTTACCTGCAGAATATCTTGGAAGAGGCTTATGTTCTGTTGATACACATCTCATCATATTATTGATGTCTTGCATCAAGAAAGCTTGCATCAAGAAAGCATCAACAAAGTGTTGTCTTCAGATGATGGGCTGTGTTTTTATTGGTTTTCTTGGTGTTTATGAGCAAAGGCACCCAAAACAACACACACACACACACACCAAAAAAAAACACAGACCCATGGCCCTGAACTAGCAGATGCAGATGATGGGCTGTGTTTTTTTGTTTTAAGGTTTCTTGGTGTTTATGAGCAAAGGCATCAAAAAACCAAAAAAAAAAAAAAAAAAACGAGAAAAAAAAAAACAAAAAAACAGACCCATGGCCCTGAACTAGAAGATGCAGATGATGGGCTGTGTTTTTGTGTTTTTTTTTGTTTTTTTTGGGTGTTTTTGTTTTTTTGCTGAACAAACTCAGCCCCCAGGAATCTGAAAAACTCAGCCCCCAGGAATCTGAAAAAAACTCAGCCCCCATGACGACCCCTTCTGTAAATATATAGGATGTATCAGAATCCGGTAATCGAAGCCTCACTAAAACCCAAGGAACCCCCCCTTAAATATATAGGATGTATCAGAATCTGGTAATCGAAGCCTCACTAAAACCCAGGGAACCCCCCCTTAAATATATAGGATGTATCAGAATCCGGTAATCGAAGCCTCACTAAAGCCCAGGGAACCCCCCCCCCCCCTTAAATATATAGGATGTATCAGAATCCGGTAATCGAAGCCTCACTAAAACCCAGTGAACCCCCCCCCCCCTGAATGTATAGGATGTATCATAATCCTGGGTTCCCCCCCCTCGTCATTTAATACATAGGATGGCAGTAATCCTAGGGCCTCGTCCCCGCTTCAAGCGCCGCTTTCGCCTTGAAGTCGATGCCCTCGCTGAGAGAAGCGCCGCTCACCGCGAAGAGCACCGCAGAGCCGTCCTGTCGGAGCGAAAAGAAACACATGGGTCGGAGGCCGTGGGAAAAAAACATGGTAAGGCTTGGTTGCTGTTGAGCCCCTGCAAAAAGTTGAACTTTTTGTTGGGGGCTTAGTGGAAAATCCAACTTGATTTCGCAAAAAGTTGAAGTCTAAAGATCCAACCCAACAGCAGTTAAGAAGAGGGGGGACGTATGGCTGTGGGTCAAAATGTTGCTGCCCAAAATGGGGTGCCCTGGTAAATGGAAGCAAGGACTCAAACCTGCGTTCCCGCGGTGGTTTAATTTTGACCCATATGATGACATATGGGTGTCTCTTAAAATACGGGACCCCATAAAGTTGGTGGTTTCCCCTTCAGTATCTCTTTAAAACCACCCCAACAAAGGTGCTAACCCAAAGAAAGACTCACCCATATGGATTTGGGGAAGTTGAAGTCCCCTTCCAACCTCAACTTGCTCTTTTTGTTTAAACAAGTTCTCACCCCATCCTTGCTGATCCACAGAGCATGTCAATACAGGGTTCAGGGCCCATGGATTTGGGTTTCAACAACCGTCCCCATACTTGTTCTTTACCAAATTGCCAAAGACACCCCCGTTCCAGTGGTTAATTTCAGGGAAACAACCAAAATGGTCTGACTTTACCTTTAATTAGCAAGGGTCAAAATAATGAACCCACAAGGGCCCCAAACGACGGGACCATGGCCGGATACTTACCGCATGAACCAACATCGGGAGGCATCCGTGGCGGCAAGCCCGCTTGTATATTCCATCTTAGCGGGTAACGGTTGCTTCAAATGGGATTTGGACCCCCTGAAACCTGTTCTTGTTGCTTTCCCCATCTTTAGTTATAGTTGTTTTTTTTAATTTGATGTGTGTCTTTTTAATATTCTTGAATACTCCCACTTCTGCCATTCCCAAACAAATGGGGATCTGAACCGTCTGTCCCTACGACTCACTTGCCCAACGCCGAGCTTTTGCCCATTCTTAACTTATTCACCATGGCCCTAAAAGGTTGACCTTTAATGTCTGGGTCCTTCGGGCAACTGAAACTAAGAACCAAAGCTTCCTCTCAACTTTGCTGGTGCTCAGTAGGGAATGGGGGAATGACCCTTATTAACAATCCAACTGGTGGTTTCCTTTTTTCGGGGACCAAAACCTGGGTTCGTTCAAAACTCTCATTCCCCACCTATGGCACCAGCAAGTCCAAGGGACATGGACGTAGGTTCTACCAACCCAACCCTTCACGCCTGGAATGATGCTTCCCCTGTAAATACCAACCAATAATGGGTTGTCCATGGTTTCAAAGTGATACGAACGGATTTTGTCCATCCACAGTGGGTTCGCAGCTCAGTCATCATCAAACCCCGGTACTAGAATGGTGAACCCAGAGCCATGCTTCAAGAATTAGGAAGGCGGATATATCCGCAGCGGTTTTTATGGCTGGGATGGTCCCTCAACCTTCATCTACCCGGGTTTCGGTTTTGAGCAAGTGGCTCAGTTTCCCCGAAGCCGGAAGGCCGGAGCTCCAGCGGATTCGACTCCCCAAAAGGCTTGGACCCGGAGACAACTTCAAGGACCATCACCCCCAAGCTCTCTGAGAGGGTGGCTCGTCTTCTTTTCCAAATCCCCCCGCCCAGAATGGCTTCGGTCTTACTTCTGGTTTCCTAGAAAAAACCCAAAAGACAGGGGGTCATCCGGGTCATCCCCGCCAAAAATCGCGGTTGTCCTTTTTGGTTCCCCAGTGAAAGGCTCCTAAAACAAGACACGCCCAAAGTGGTGCTGGAGTTTTGCGCACCCCTCGAAAGCATCGCCTCCCGCACAGCGCTGGCAAAGCTCTGGAGGGTCGTGGCCGCGTCATTCTTGACACCTGGCCCGTTCTCAATAGGAACCGCCTAAGGCTTTTTGGATTTCCTGAATGTTAACTTCGGGAAAAAACAAACAAGGAGTAACCTCTTAGTCAGAGGAAGCCGCTAAAATAGTGGATTTCCTTACTACAAGTCAACCACCCCCTGATTAGTACGGTCCTTCGGATGAATCCGAAGCTAACATGAAACTCCAACCAAAAGGGCACCTCGGGGGCGATACCCATTTCAGGGCAAACCAACCAGATTGTTTTCTGCTGATAAATTTCCTGTTTGCTGTCAGTAGTGAGTGAGTGAGTGAGTGAGTGAGGTGAGGTGAGGTGAGGTGAAGTGAGGTGAGGTGAGGTGAGGTGAGGTGAGGTGAGGTGAGGTGAGGTGAGGTGAGGTGAGTGAGTGCCTGGCTGGCTGCCTGCGTGCGGGCGGGCGTGCGGGCGTGAGTGAGGGAGCGAGCGAGTTATTGATTCATTGATTCATTGATTTATCGATCGGTTGATTGGTCGGTTGGTTGGCTAATTGGTTGAAGGATTGAATGATTGGTTCGGGCAAGGGAGGGAGGGAGGGAGGGAGGGGAGGGGAGGGGAGGGAGGGGAGGGAGGGGAGGGGAGGGAGGGGAGGGGAGGGGAGGGGAGGGGAGGGAGGGGAGGGGAGGGGAGGGGAGGGGAGGGAGGGGAGGGAGGGGAGGGAGGGGAGGGAGGGAGGGGAGGGGAGGGAGGGGGGAGGGGAGGGGGGAGGGGAGGGGAGAGGGGAGGGGAGGGGAGGGAGGGGAGGGAGGGGAGGGAGGGGAGGGGGAGGGGAGGGAGGGAGGGAGGGAGGGAGGGGAGGGAGAGGGGAGGGGAGGGAGGGGAGGGGAGGGGAGGGGGAGGGGAAGATGAGGGGAGGGGAGGGAGGGGAGGGAGGAGGGGAGGGGAGGGGAGGGGAGGGGAGGGAGGGAGAGAGTGAACGACCCATGTCATGAGCGACTGACTGGCTGGCTGGCTGGCCAACTGACTTTCTGAGTGATTGCTTGCTTGCTTGCTAGGATGGATGGGTCGGTGGTTGGGTGGGTGGGTTTATTGATTGATCAATCGATTGGTTGCAAAAAAAAAAACACCCCTGAGTCGGAACAGGCTCAGTAATTGGGAACGTCCACTGGTTCGCCCCTGTAAAAGCCGCAATCTTGACCCCATATTGACCAACCCCAGCGTAAAAAAAACGGGGCGTTGCCCTCCAAAAGCCATTCCCACGAAACCCAGGGACCCCTCTGGACCCCCCCCCCCATTTTTGCAATAAACTGGGGTTGACGAACATGGGGTCAACATGGGTGTGGCTCAAAATTGAAGAGCTAGAGTTACGCATGGTTTAGTCTTGGCTTCATTCTCCAAGGTGCCATTTTGGTACATCTTTTTGAACCGCAGCCAGGCATTACCTCTTTGCTAGTGGCTGGCCACTGGGCTTCCGTCATTGACGAGGCAAGCGAACTCGGTCGTCGGCCAGGCACCCCGCCTCCGCTCTGTCCGCCTCGAAAACGAAGCGGGCGAGCAAGCAAAGCAGAGCGCTCACCAACGAACTGGTCGCATCAGGCAGATTTTTGCTCAACTCAGATGCCCAGTGGCTACGGGCGACAAAACATCCTTTTGGTTGGTTGACTTTGAAGGGGAACCCTTCCCAAAAAAAGGGGAAAAAGAGCAGCACTGGGCAACTGGGTCAACCCCCATGAAGGATCAGAGAGTGACAGGGGCCACGTGCCCTCAATTGTTGGTTGCAAGGGTCCCAACACTCAAGAACGGCGAAAGCCGTGGGGTTGGGGCGAGTTGCGGGCAGGTTCTGAATCAACTTTGACCAATGGGCTGATCTCTTTCACGTTTGGCCCAACTCTGGAGCACAGTAAACAATGTTCTGAGTTCTGACTCTGTTTCGCAATTAGTCAACTTTGACTTGACTTTCCCTTTTGTTGTCGACCTGGGGTTGTCCCGGGGAGTGAGAACGAGGGGCAAACGGCCGTGCGCCAGTTGGTTCAAACAACGCAATTGCTCAGCTGCTTGTGCGGCCCGAAACTGTTCAATACCAAAGAAATACGCCAACAGCACAACCCAGCACGACTGCAGCCCTGGCTCAAAAGTCTGCAGCCCTGGCTCAAAAGTCGCAACTGTTCAGTATCAAAGAATTAATGCCAATAGACAACTGCAGCCCAGCTCAAAAGTCGCAACTGTTCAATACCCATGAAGTACGCCAAAAGCACGACTGCAGCCCCGGCTTGAAAGCCCCGGCTTGAAAGTCGCATGTTTTCCGCACTCAAGCAGCCCACGCAGCGCAACCAATCTCATCTGAGAGCATGAGCGCCAAACATGTGCCAAAACCTTTTCTTTTGGGGGGTATGGTTCGGGGTATGGCTTGAGAGTGTGGTTCGGGGTTTGGCTCTTACAAGTCGCACTTCCACCCTTTACCAAAGGCCGAGCAACTTAAAAGTACATATGCTCTGATCGAAATGCAATATTCAGGACATGAAACGCATTTGTGGTTTAACCCAATGAGCTGTGTGTATTCTAACTGTAGGGTTCCTTCGGTCAAAGCGACCCAGACGTCAGATTCTTCCAAACCTGCCAAATCCTGCAAGGATCCATGCCGATTGGCAGACTGAGTTTCACACCATTCAAGCTGGGGAGCCATGAACGCTCATGTTTGATGCTCCCAAAAAAGCAACACGAGGGTGTGTCTTCTTGTGAAGAACCCCTTGTTGTGTGGTTTTCCAAGGAAGCTGAAAAGGAAACAACCATATTGGGGGTCCTGAAATGTTGAGACTCCCCAGCCTTTGCCTCCAAGTACTCACCTTGAACCCAGAAAATAAAGGGCCAAAAAGGGACACCCAAAAGGTCAAAAAGGTCGTCTTTGGGAAAGTGAGAAGGTGGTCTGATGCCAATTGGGGCAGAATAAAAACCTGGTATTCGCGAAGTCTACTCAACAGTGTATCGCTTGGGACTCTGCCATAACCTTCATTTACCCACGCTGTCTTTTTGTCACAGTGACCTGTTTTCCCAAGAGGAACATTGGGCGGGCCCTTCTCGTGCTCCCCCAACTGGCAATAGACAAATACAAGGGGATAAGCAACTTACACGGCCATTGGGTGTCAGAAACATCCAAACACCACTTGATTCTCAACGGATCCAAACTATACAAAATACCCTTACAAATTGTGCCCCAAAGTTATTGGGTGGTTTCCCTTTTTAAAGGAAGTTTGAGACTGACCCACATGTGGGCGCTTCCTTTGAGGGTGCCCTTTTGGGTTGGTTTCATGCGGAAACGCAAACCACCTCAATTGGGGTTATCCCATCCTTAGAAACATACCCATGCGAGTGTTTGTCAAAATAGACCCCCCTGTACAAAAAGGGACACCCACAGGAAACCACCGATTTTGGGGGTGTCTCCCTAGAGACAAGCCTCAATGGCTGTGAACCTTTAATACGATGCCTCATAAGTGGCTGGTGGACATGAATCCCCAGCGAATCCTGATGTCCAAAGGGTGCCCTATTAAAATTCACACACCCAAATGTGTGTGTCTCTTCGTGGTTCTTGCCCTTTGGTTTCCCTTTAGACCAACCATACAAGGGGGGTACCCTCAAAATGGACATCCCCAAATGTTCTAGGGGACACTGCCCCATTCTTTCCAGGGATCCTTCTTTCCGGAAAACCATCAGAACCCCACAGCTGGTTTTTGAAAAGACCGATGGTTGAAAGGAATGGACAAGGAATCGACCCCTAGAAATGTATCCTCATATTTAGACGCCCCAGGTATCCAAATCCACAGCGAGTTCTTTCGCCTCGCCGGTTCTGCTCCATGAAGAGACGCCGGCCTGCGAGGCCTCACAACGAGTGGCAGCCGGAGCGACTGGGAGCTGAGTGTTGGCTCGGCTTGGTTTGTTGGTCCCTAAAAAGTCAAAAGACTTTTAGTGGCCCAGTGTTCCAGTTTCCACTTTTTGGTAGGTAACAAGGGTTTTAGGTCCTACATGGTTTCCTCTAGTTGCCCTTGGCATCTGGAACCACTGGGATATGTGATAAATTCAACTCTGGGCTCAGAGTCTGAGACGCCCAGCCTCAACGTTTTCAGGGGATAGAGCCATGAGCGATCGGTCAACCTCTTCTCCCTCGGAGGGACATATCTTCCATTTGAAGAGCAAAGGGGACATGAGTGGCAGCGTCCTTGCAACTCATTATGACGAGAAAAAAATACAAAAAGGGGCAACACCTCTTAAACACACAACCCCCCGTCAATTTTTCCGCTACCGAGCTTCTCATCCAACGTTTGTAAGGTCCCCTTTTAACCCTCTGCCAGGGGCTGTGAGAAAGACTGATGGATTGACCGTTTGAACCTATTTGCCACATGTTCCAACCATAATTGCCGACATCTTTCCCGTAACATTTGTTGGTCCACACACTTGGCCGCAGCCGGCTTCAGCCTTCACCTACAAAACCGCTTAAGCTTTCAGCTGACCTGGCCTAGTGAATCACCAAACACCGCAGAAAACTTGCTGTTTCAAACCGCGGAACATGCCGAGCCAACCTTCACATGGAAAGAACGCCCGCGGGGGGACGGGGGACGGGGTTCGCTTCGATGGTGCTTGGTTCCGTCCGAGAGGCGCGATCCGTCGAGTGTTTGGGCGATCACCGACAAGTACTCGTACGAGGGGAAGAAAAAGACCTCAGGCAAACGTCTCAATGTCTGGGCCCATTCCTTTCATGCACCTACTAGAGTTCACAAGACGGGATAGTGAGCTAGTGCAGCTGTTGAATCTCAGATACACAAATATTATGCCACATGTTCATTAATTTGAAAAGGCCGATTCTGATGGTTTGCCAGGACAAAGGTTCCCTCAAGTCCCGTTCTGATTTCTTCATAAACAGCGCTTGTTGGGACCAACTGGGTGTTTTGTTCTTCTTTTGACGCTGCTCTGATTGAACAGGAAGCCGAGAAGGGGCAACCGGTAGCTAGAAGCTACCATTTGAATCGGCTGAATTCGGATGGGTTTGGTTGCATTCCGAAATTCCCAGTGTTAATCGTTTGGTTCCACCAAAGCGAGTCTTTTTGAGTCATTTGGGCCCTCATATTTGAGATCCGATGCAGAGTTTTAGTGAGCAGCCTGCAGTCTGGGCGTATTACTCCACGATTTACCCACGAAGGTCTCTTACTCCAAGGAAAGTATGGGTGTGTCTTGGTTTAGGGGACCCCCCCCCACTTTTGTTTTTGTGTTGGTTTCCGTTCAAACTAGGCTTGTTTTTTTTTGCCTCAGTACCCCTTTCTTGGTAAATGGAAAATCAAAAGAAACACCGTTGCGCCATATTCTTGCTGGTTCTCAGCAAAACATGGAATGACCCTATAACCCATCCGCGTTTTGGTTTCCTTCGGGAATCCCCAAACTGTTCATTCCCAACACCCCCACTCGGACTCATTCCCCACCTATCGCACCAGGTTTTGGAGGGTCCTTAAATCCTAAAAAATCCAGAGCCACCCTCAATCCCTAGGTTCATTCCCAAAACTGCAAGGTCATTCCCCACCTAATTATCGCCACCGGAATCGCACCAGCAAGTCTTGGAGCCATCCATTTTGCTCGCTCCGTTTTTTCTTCCAGTGATCCCGCCATTTTACCCTAAGTTTGGTAAAGACCAACCAAACAGAAAACAAAGGAACACCGTTGCGCCGTTTTGGAGTCCTTAGATCCTCAAAAAGCACAAACATCCAACTGGTGGTTTCCTATGAGCTGACCAAAGCCTGGGTTCATTCAACCACATTCCCTGAGCACAACTAAAAAAAAGGGTAAGACCAAGGAAAACCGTAGCACCGTTTTGGAGTGGTCCTTAAATCCTCAAAAAACACAAACATCCAACTGGTGGTTTCCTTTGAGGGGACCAAAGCCTGGGTTCATTCAACCACATTCCCTGAGCCAGAAAAAACATTTGGGTAAAGAACACACAAACAAGATTTCAAAGGAAAACCGTTGCACCGTTTTGGAGGGGTCCTCAACTCCTTTAAACAAAAACACGAGCCATCCATGTTGGTCGCTGGATCCAAGGGGCGGCGCCGCCGTGGGTGGCGCTCGCCGCTTTCGTCAGGATGAGCCGCAGCTGCGCCAAGGTCTGGTCACAGCTTCGCTGGTCCTTCCTCGCAGGAAGGAATCCCATGGGGGGTAGTTGAGAGCCCGAAACGTGGGTTCGTTTGGGTTTTCCAGGGGTGCCTTCAAGGCGCCTCAAGGGGGTCTCTGGGTTTAGTCTTCTTTGGGGGTGCTTTGGGGCAGTCTTAAGGGAGTCTTGGAGAACCCCGCCCTGGCACCCTTAGGGATTCCCTAACCGAGCCAAACCCTTTTCCAGGACCCGAGCTTTTGATCAGGTCTTTTGAGATCATTTGGGCCGTATTTGAGGCTCGAGGGGACAGAGGAATGCTAAGCTAGCCGTTCTTGATTCTTGAGTGATCGGCCAAAATACGCGGGTAGCAACCCAACAATGACATTTACCCTGATTTTGATGTCTTGCCAATGCGAATAGTACTCGTACATACGTGCGGAATCTATTCAATGTGTCGCATCCGCCTTTGTTGACGCTTTGAAAAACAAACTCTTGACAACCGGAGGGCCCTCAAACAAAATGGAGCCAATCATCCAGAACCATCCCTGCGAAAGCAATCCGCGGCTGCCTGGATAAAACCTTTGTATATAAGACACGGTGTGAACTAACAGGGATCTCTTTGCCATGGATTGGCCTCAGTCAATGCTTGTTTGCCACGCGGCTTTTCTTTCTCAAGTGGATCGCAGTTCTGTAAAATAACCTTTGCTGGCACACAGTGGGACATCCCCTTTCGCTCGCAAGATTTCCTTGGTACCACAGAAAACGGGTTAAAACAGAATGGAGTGCAAAACCCAAGCTGAGTGCTGATTCTACAACGATCCCCATGAAACGAGGTAAGGTTGCCAACTCAATATTGCGTGCAGGCCATTCACTGCCTGCACAGTGCACGTGACCAAGGACCACAAAGCTCCCCGCCGGTAGGGGACCAACTATTCTACAGGTGCCGTGTGCCCTGGGGCCCTGAGCATGGCCAGGTAGAGCGAAGAAGGAGGACGAGGTAGGGTAGGCCAAGGGCATCCACCGGAACTGAACCTCCTACAATGGCCGTGTGTTTTTCCCTTCTTTTTGCCAAACCCAAACGCATGCTTAAGGTTTCCTCGTGGATTCCCGTTAAAACCACCCAAATCGCCGCCCCCCCCCCAAAAAAAAAGGACACGGCCAAAAACCATGGCGGCTCCTGAAATCCAGGGGCTGCGTTCCGGCGTGTGTCACGTAACGCACCAAGATGTGACTGGACCTCAGATCAATCCAAAAACCCACCCCAGTGGATCCCACTTTCCGAAAAAAAGCTAGGCAACCGGCCATGTTCGATCCACCAAATAGCAGTTGTCCTGATCCCCCAAACCTAAATAGTCGGCAACCAGCCACTGTCCTTTCGTTTTAAAGGTGGGTCCATCGGTTACCTACACAGGGAAATGGAAACACAGGGAACCACTGGGCCACCGGGGCTGCCAATTTTTGGTTCGCACTGAAACATCATCCTAAGAGGACACTCACAGAAAACATTGGCGCTGCCCTGGGACGACATAATATCGGTACAATCACCTGTTGGGAACCTTGGCATGTCCACGGTTGCCATTTCTTCCATTTGGTTAAGGCCCCGGGAAGAAACTATCTCCAGTAGTGATGAACTCCTTGAAAAGCCAACAAGGGAAAATAAAACATATAACATATGATTAAGCAAATGGAGGCCATGGATGGGTTGAAAAGCAACAGGTCAGATATCAAAAGGTCGGTTTTGGACTCGGGAAGGGCACAGGTGCAGTCAAGGTACGGCACAACCTCGGCGGCGGGTTCGGGCCAAACACTCCTCATTTAGTGGGTGCCTTGTTTTGCTCGTCTGTTTCTCCCTCCTGCTTTGCTGGGGCATGGCAACCGCAAAACCTAAACCAATCTTAAGCCTGGCCTAGGGTTCCCTGTGTTTCCCCTTCAATCATCACCTCTACCAACGCAAACTCCAAGGGGAAGTGATTCCTCGGCCCACCCGACACAACCTGAACGCGCACGACCTCAAACTGCTGGAACATCCGGCAAATCTGCTGGTGTCCGGCATCTGGGCCCAGGAAACAACTATTACATATCACCAAGCAAAACTCGGTCAACATGCGCCTTGAAGGGTTTCTGCGGCCTGTCTGAACCAATCGAACAAACTCTGAGCCGCTTTTAACTTCCTGGTTCTCAGGGAGGTCGGAGTGAGCCAACAAACCATCCGAAGATTCTGGTGGTTTTTCCTAGGAATCCCAAAGGGTGTCCCACCTCGGGAATGATCCCTGGAAGTGTCCGCGATTGGAAGTTTGAGAGATTTTCATGGGATCCCCATTCGGAAATCGCCACAATTCAGTTCAAGTTTCCAACTCATTCCAAATGAGAACCGGCCACAAAAACCAACTTGAAAAACTCGAGGGGTCATTCAACCACCAAACTCCATGTGGCCATGGGTCAAAACCCCGTACCCCCAGTGAACATCCCAATCCCCACTAAAGTAGGTTCTAAAATGGGTGGTGCACCTATTCCAAAATGGGATCGATCCCATCGGTTTTGAACCATGGCCATGTTTCCAGCCCAACGAAAACGAGCAAGGCAGGAAGTCGCATCCGCTTTCGTTGAGCCTCGCCGCGTGGGGCCCGCTGAAGCTGCGCAGAGGTCGCGTGACGTCCACCGGCAGCTCGCGCGCCTCCAAGGTGCCGCCGGCGAACAGCACCGCCTTGAAGGCGGTTTTCGATCGAGGGGAACCTTTCTGGGGCCAAGGAACCTGAAAAAGCGCTCGTTTTTTTTTTTTTTAAATCCGGTCCTTCTGAAAATCCGGGGAGGGGGGGGGGGGGGGTTTAGAAGATGTTTTTATTTCTTGGTTGACCTTCTTTCTGAAAATCTGGGGAGGCGGGGGGGGGGGGGGGTTCGATTGGTTTGTGCCCCTCCGTCCATGTTGTTGGATTGGTGCTGCTGGGAGGGGGCCTTTTAGGCTTCCAAAGTAGAAAAGGACGCCTATACTCAGTTGAGTCACAATAAAAACCGATCGGTACAAAAATGGTGAACCCAGAACAGTAGAGAGGTCCTCCAGATTTGAGAGGTCAGAATAAGGGCACCCACTTTTTTGTCTGTGGTCTATTTTTAGTAGGGGAACCCTCCCAACCAAAAAAGGGGAGAGAAGGGCACTACTGGGGGACCTAGTATACTCAGTTACTCAGTTGAGTCAGAATCAAAACCTGGTACAAAAATTGTGAATTCAGAATCATGAGAAGAATTAGAAAGGCGGCCGCAACTATTTCCGGCTGGGACTGCCCCTTACTAACCTTCATCTACCCGGGTTTTGATTGTGGCTCAGTTGACAAGTCTGCTAAGTGGCTCATGTGTCGTAGACATTTCACTCAGGGGACTTCTTCTCTGGTGGGGCGGTCATCCAAATGGTGGTTTCTCAAAACGTGAATGGGACCATTTGGCCATGGGTCAAAATCAAAACCCCGGTTACCCCCCAGTGAACATCCCAATCCCCACTAAAGTAGGTTGTAAAATGGGTGGTGCACCTATCCCAAAATGGGATCCCATTGGTTTTGAATCATGGCCTTTTCAGCCACCTGAAGCCTTGGGATGGCTTCTCATCCAACAGGAATTCTTAGCATTTTCCTCAAGGACAAAGGTCTACTCAGCCCGCATGGAAATAGAAGGTTACCCTTTTGGGGGCAGTGGCAGGGGGGAGGGGGGGCTCCGAAAGGTAAGGGGAGCGCGTAGAAGGGATACCAGATGAGCCTAACTTAGGCTCCACCAACGTAGTGATGGCCATCAAAAACCGCCACGTGATCCGGTTCTATGTCCCAAATGGCCCGAACCACTGTCTCCTGAAACAACCTCTGCTTGACATAGATGAATGGTAACTCAGCTTCCCTCTGATTGGTGGGCTATTTGTTGGCTTGTTTCTTTTTCTTTTTTTCTGCTTTTTGTTGGGGGGCGGGGAGGGTTGTGGCTTCCCATTTACTCTCTACAAGAACCCGGGGTTCATATTACCAAGCCACCAATCCGAACCACCAAGTGTTGCCTGAGTACTCAATTTGGGCGGGTTGATGATCCAAAGAGTATGTTCCGAGGAAAATATTCCCGAATGTTTAAAAGGGACGTCCAAAGTAATTGGTGGCCCGCTTTGATTGATTGAGCTGCGGTAAGGCGAATGAACCCTTGAAAGGCCTCTAGCTGCTAGCAGGCAGCGTCGTCGACAGAAATAGCAAGAACACCAGAAACACCCCGCCCCTTTGACATGGGCGCCTAGGTCTCAGAAACAAAAGGCATCCCCTTTTGGTCGGGGGAAATCAGCCCTGGGACCAGGGTTACACCACCCCACTGGCCTTCTCAAAATACGGACCCAAAAACCCCCTTGGGTTGGTTTAAAGGGAATCCAACCGGGATACCCCGCCATTTTGGGGGGCCCCATTTTGGAAGATACGGGTAGGATGGGTGTTCCTCGGGGCCGGGCTCCCCTTAGCGGGTCCAGCTACCCCCGCCCGCTGGCCCATGGGCCAAGCCACGCGAGCGGCCACCAGGATCTCCCGAAAGCGTGCCTGTCGAGGATTCGTGTTGAGGACCGCTTCAAGACTTGCAAAGCGGACTCCGGACAGTAAGTTTGAACAAATTCCGGACAACTTTTGGACACTGAAGAAAAACAGGACAGCAGCAACAGCAGCATTCAACACATTCAAGGCAATGACAGCAACAGCAGCGTGACACCAACACCAAAAGCAACACCACCGCTGCCGCCACCACCACCACCACCAAGTGCAAACAACAAACCTGGACACGAACCAAACACATTGAACACCAACTGTCGTGTTCATGCGCTCCAAACAAAATGATAAAGACACCTGCCAACACAAAGTCTGAAATCTGAAAACTCAACTTACAGTGGATGCCGCGTTCGCCATATTGCAAGTCAACCAACCACAATTCATGGTTTGTACACCTGAACATTGCCTTCTAAATGGTGGTTTCCCTTTATTTTGGTGGAAAAAACAATTTTCAAATGGGCAACATGTATCTTTTAAGGAGCCCGGTCATTGAACTTGTCGGGTTTCCCTTGATCCCTGCTTGCAATTTGTTGGGCATCCACCGCCTGGGTGCATTTTCCGGGCCTCCGCATCCAAGCTGAGGTACCTCAGCGAAGCCTCTGTACCTGGAGCAGGGCAAGAAAGCCAGGCAGTCAGCTGCAAAAGGGGTAAGAAGTCAACTTGAGATGGAACACCCAGGATGCAACATTGGTTCGAAGTGCCTGTGGCGATATTTTCATAGCCCAAAGAAAACCCAAGGCAAACCCAGGGCGAAGCAACAAATGCTTGACACGGCGGGGTCGAGCCACTGAACGAGTCACAGAGCGGACGAAGTGCTGAAACACTCGGCGTTCAACATCTGTGCCAGTGGATCCCTCGCATTTCCCATCAACCGCATCACCCATTTTTGAAAATGCGTTCACATTGTAAAAAGGTCGTGTTTCGCGTAGTCTATGGCTGCCCTTGCCTATGCGAAGAACGCTCGCTGTAGCCGCTTTGGCCAACTGCTCCTTCCACTCGAACTCGCCAACTCGATTCACCCCCCCCCCCTCCGGGTATGGTTCCTGCGATGTATGTGCTACCAGAACAGCCACTCCTTGTGAAGAAATTGTGAACGGAAACCAATGTCAGAGTGGGAACCTCCCACATTTTTGGAGATTCGAGACGCAGCAGCTTAGACACCACTCTTTAGAACTGGTTTAACGAACCCATGGGGAACCTAACATGAATGATGAGATGATATTGGCCAATGTGACAATGTGTAAACATGTGAGAAATATCACGCCAGGGTCTTGCCCGCTCTCATGAATCTTATGTGTCCGAAGAACTGGAAACAACATGAAACAACAAGTTAAGCTTTGGAACCCAGGTTCAAAGGTCGGCATTGGGCTTAAGATGTCTGTGAAGTTGCCTTTCCATCCTGGTCACTGAGTTCCCACCCTCGACAGGCGACATAGCTGCGCCTGGCTCGCAAATGATACGATCCTGGCGCAGGCAGCCAGCATCATTTGGTTTGGGCAAACAAATTCTACCTTTCATATGGCTACTGCCTCTGCAGAAGAACATTGGATATGTTCAGAAACGTGGCTCAGTGCCGCAGGGCAGATGACAAGCTCGGTACCAAAACAAAAACGCCGCTGCATCGCATTGGAGAAACTGGGTGCGGAGGCGCGTGGATGAACAAACTAAGATTTCGCGGCGCAGGCGGGCATCGTGAGGTACAAGAGGTGGAGTTTTGGAGAAATGAAGTGCGGAGGGCATGGACATGGTGGCCATGTGCATGAGGTGAGTGGTGGATCACGCCCGAAACTCGCAAGTTCTACAGATCTGTTTGGTCTGGATGGTCCTGTGATGCACGCGAGGGCACAAGCTGTTCACAACAGCCTTGATTTCATCCCTCAGGGGCCTAGACTCAAGCATGGGGTGTGTGGTGGATCCCCTCAGTGATGCAGGTCCCTTTGCGCAGGCTGCGCGGGATCGGAACGGGGGCATTGTTGGACAATACATCAGCACGGGATGGCCCATCTTAGAAGTGCTTAAAATTCTCGGAAGCCCCACCCCAGTGCGCACATCCAAGCAGCACTCAACAGGCTCAGCGAGATGGAGAGCAGTTGGGGAAACCCAAAGCCTGAAGGTTCTGAAGCAGCCAAGCTTTTGACTTCCTTCAGGGGACAAGTGGAGGGATGCCCCCCCCAGAAAAGAGTGGAGGGATGCCCCCCCCAGAAAAGAACCCAAAGACACCAAAAATCCCCCCAAAAAAAAAGAGGTGCCCCCCCCCCCAAAAAAAAAAACACGACCCCCCCTCCCCGTTCTGGTCAGCTAGGTGGCAAGCCTTCCCGTTTCACCCCGAAAACGCCCTGAGAGAAGTCGGATCCCGACGGGACCTCAAGGGCTGGGAACCTCATGGAACCTCATGGTACAAAAATCCCTTCACACCACTTTGACTCCACACACCAAAAACTTGAGATGGCAGTTCGCCGGGGAAAGCATATTCAAGCAACAAGGGAAAACGACGACCTACTCTCAAGTAAACCAACAAGGGAAAACGTATTCAACCAACAAGCAAAAACATATTGAACCAACAAGGGAAAACAACAACATATTCTCAAGGAAATGGAAGAAACTTGAGTGGGATATTTGGAGAGGGCAGGCAGCAGGCCCAGTCCTCTGTGCTGCTGAACTGGAGCGCCTTCAGCAAATCGCTGATGGCATACACGGAGGACCTGAATCTTTTTTCTTGTTTTTTTCTCGGTCGCCGGGGAGTTGTGTCAAACAGCAAACAAAAAAACTGATTGGCTTGCGCTTGGTTTCACTGCAATGTAGTGAATAGTAAAGTCCGCCCTCAGTTAGTATCGGATTAGTCCTGCTTAATAGCAGCTTAGCAACTAGTATTAGTTGAAAATCGGGTAGTATTAGTTTATCATTATGTATTAGTTTAGTATGTTTCGTTTATTGGTTTAGTATTCGGTTGCAAGAACCCGGATAAGTTCATATGTCCTCCGCTTCAGCATTCGCTGCTCACTTTTCGGGGCTTCGGTCCAGAGCGGTGCCTAAGTCTCGACCGGCAGAAAGGGTCTTGGAAGGAACGGCTTCAACCACCTTGTCTTGCTTCCTGAGTGGATCGGCCAACACAAAGTCACAACTTGTTGGTTGCCACTAAAATCGACTACCCACAAAGGTGAAAGTCCGGGAACTCAGGGAGTGAGTTGTCGCAGTGTATGCTCTTGTTGCAACATCAATTTGTTAGGGCCGCAGACATTGACTTTCAAGGCGAGCTTTGGCCGTCAATGAAAGATGCTTGCAGAAACAACTTGTGAGGGCCTAACAAGTTGATTTTGCCAGAAGTAGGCAGGTAAGGCCGGTCTTCCCCAGCCCTCCAGAACAGCATTCCGTTGGCAAAGCCCTCCTTTTGCTAGAGCCTCCAAATTATTTGAAAGCTCGTGGGCTCGAACACGCCCCCGAAACCAGAGGACGATCATTTTCCTGCAGGTGATTTGTCTGCAACATGAAATTTGTTAGGGCTAACACGATCACATTTGCGAGGTGCAAAGATAGAGGGTTCACAAATGTCGCCGTCAACAATATCCCGAGAGGTTGCTCAGCATTTGATAGGGCCCAAGGTGTCAAACCTACCTGAGATTGGGAACAATAGTTGCACAATCGCACCGTTTCACACCCACAGAAAATCAATCGTATCACATGGAATCAGTTGCAATCATGCTGATTAGTATTCGTTTAGTATTGCCAGAGCTCAGGATCATGTTTTTCTCTTCCCTGGACGGGCAGCCAACGATGTTTTCCCATTGAAACAAATTGTCGGTATTTTTCATTTCCCTAAAGAGTGTACCCGCAACAAAAACACCCAAATACTTGGATGCTAGGTGTTTCCTTCCTCTCCTGGTGAGGGCGCTCCCATTTTGGACAAGACCACAGGTTTGGTCAAAAATGACCCATTTGGTAAAAACCTTTGGTCGACTCACTCATTTGTTCACCACCAAAAGAACGCGGGGCTCCCCGATCACGTCCTTTGCGGGGTTCGCGCATAATTCTTGTAACCCGTGTGGACCCCAATCACGGGTTCCAAACGAAACGGCTCCGATCCCTTTGGCCAAAATGTGTGCATCCCACGTTGGGTCTTTTCCCCCTAGGAAGTTAATCATGACCCCGGATTCACAAACCCGTCCCATAGGGTGGAGTTCTCCAAAAGTCAACGAGTGCATGGGAAAAGGGGGCACGCGCCTTTGAAATGCCGGGGGTTCCCAGGTGGATTTTTCAGATACCCACGGTTGTCAGGGGTTATCCAAAGATAGGACCCCCCAAAACTGGAACCCTAATTATTAGCCCCGATTAGGCCGTGTTCGTCGTACTTGTTGCCCCTATTGGGATTGGAGGGCCGGCCCTTCACAACCATACTGCGGGTGGACGAACTCCAATTCGCACCACTGTCCGGAAACCCTGGAATGTGTTGATTCCTCTGTAAATGCCAACAAACCTTCTGGCTTCAACCGTGGTTTCAAAGTGGTGTGAAAAGGATTTCGTCCACAGTGGGATGGCTTCATGGGTCGCATTTTGCTGGCCCCTGGCCGCTGGCCCCCTGTTGGGGGGGGGGCCTTTAGGATGGATTCGGTTTCCGTTGGCCCCGTAGGTCACCGACTGTCGAAGCGTGCTGGCTCCCTTTGGCCCCAGGCGAAGTGCCAGGCTTTAAGGCGAACCTCTCCGCAAAGTGCCGTACCTCACGGAGAGACGAACAGATGGATTGGATGGATTGGATGGGTTGGGTGGGTTGGATGGGTTGGCAGGTGGGGAAGTTCTCTGTGTGTGTGTGTGTGTTGCAAGAAGGAATGTTCAAGTCAAACAAAAACATGTCAATGATGTCAATGTTCATGAGAATGCTTGCTGTTTGTTTTCGGCAAGACACAAATCACTGAAGTGAAGCAACCCTGACCCAGGTGACTTTTTTCTTTCGGCCAAAAACCCACACCAAAAGAAAACATCCATGCCCAAAAATGGAGACCTAAAACAACCAATTCGTCCATGCCTAACTGGTCTGACCTCTCCGTCTGCTCCCTCCCGCGCGCCGGTGCTCGAGCTCTCAACTCGCGTCTCGCGCCTTGCGCGGGAGCTCGGTGTGGAGCAAAAAGTCCGCCAGCGACGGCAGGTCGAAGTGGTCGGCGCCCAGCGCCACCAAGAAGGCGCCCACCTGGGTTTGCGTTGTTGTTGTTTTTTTTCTCAGCTGGACATGGGTCAAAAACCCGGTCACCTATGACAATTGCGGTTACGGCCATTTTCGCGCGCATTTTCGCGTGCGAAAATGGTACCCTTTCCGCGGTTTCTTGGTTTTAGGGCCAAGAGAGTCCGCCATTCTGGCGCTCAGAGCTGGCAGGCACCCATGGTCAGCTTCAAAGAACGCCCAACCGAAAACTACCCTTCAAGGAAACCTCCAGTTCCGGTTCGGGAAGGATACCTCCCAAGAAGCCACCAAGGCCAAGGAAGAACGAACGTGACGTTTGAAGAGGTCACAAAAGACCCATGTGTTTTTTTTTCTTGGAGAAGCGATGGTTGAAACGCATCCTTTTCAAAGAGCTCTCAAGATAGCGTGCCCTGCTTCTCCAATTCCAACCTCAGCGATCGAATCAAGCCTTCCTACCTAGTCCGGGTTCAGAAGGAACGAATCTGCAACAAGACCCCTGTGTGTCCTGGGGTTGCTGAATGTCTGATTCTTTTCACTTGAAAAGCGCACAAGGCCCATTGACCTTTGGTTCCGTTTTCATGGATATTTCGGGTATAGGCTTCACCAGAATCCACAGGAAGCCAGGTACCCCCGCTCCAAGGTGCGGGGCCCATGGGTCCCTCTGTTTGGGCCTTGGGATTTGGTAGCCCAAAGAGTTGCCGGGGGGTAAAAAACAAAAACAAAAACGAAGCTCAAACCCAGGCAAAGTGCAACACATCTCCCCACGAAACCTATTGGGACACCATGGAAGCTGGCATGGGATATACCTTTTTAGCCCCGGATCAACCCCTCATCGATTTGATGTCCCAAACGCGAATGGTTTGGGAGTTTGTTCTAAGATCCAGTCAAACCATTGCTAGACTCGATATGGCTGTGGCTCTCAAAAGCCGGTACCCAAAATGGTTTGCCCTAAGTGGAAACGTGGACCAACACCTGCGTAAAACCCCAGCTGTTTCATTTTGAGCCACATCCATATGCTTGGAATCAACACGACTTTGCAGAGCCGGGTACCCGCTGGCAGACTGCCTTGTCCGAACTCGGCTCGCTCGCTCGCTCTCGCTCGCCAGGTCGGGGCGCAGTCAGGGCGCAAGGCTTCTCCAAAGCGCCCATGTACCTGTGCCTAGGAAACAGGCCATAGGCTATGCATAGCGAGCTAGCTTCTTCACGTGGTAACAGCACCAGAACAAGCACCGGCGGGTAGACCGCAGTGCACAAAATGGGAAGGGCATCTGGCCGCTAAAAGGTTTCCATGGCTGGAAGGCTGCGCACGAGGTGAACATGTACTTTCATTTAAACAATTGATCAAATGGGACGAAAGCAGAAAGAAAAGACTTAGCAAAGTGATGATTATTACAGTATCGCGGTTATCATGGTTTCCTCCTTTATTGGTCTGTAAAGTGTTCAAATGTTCTACGTCTAGCTAACTTCTCGATACTTTCCTGTAGTCTTTCCATTGTTGACGTAGTCTCTTGTAAGCTTCCAGCAGTCTTCGCTTTCCATAGTCCTGTCTTCCCCCTACTAATAAATGCATGCACTCTATTAATATACGATTCTCCCAAACAGCCAGATTCCCAATACTACTTTTAGAACAGGCCAATTCTGAAGCAATACTTAACTGGCTGACTCAGCCCATCTCACCCCTTATTGATAAATAGCGAATACTTATCAATACCAGGGCGTATTCATTATTAGGGGGCAGCGATTAGCCTTTCGGTTGTATTCCTGCAGTCTGCAGTCTTCCAGTAGTATTCCAGAATCTTTCCGTAGCCTTTCTGCTGAATTGTAGTAAGACTTGTCCCTACTACGTGGCATTCAGTGGGCCAAAGGCTTGCTGGCAAGGTGGTTGTCGGTTGCTATGATTTCAACAAACGTGACCCTGATCAAGTCAAAGGTTACCTGTCCTTGATTTATTCCCCCTTGAACATAAAGTGCAGGCCTTCATATACAGCATCAAACTGGCATTTGTTCTTCAATGTGTTCATTACAACAAACATGTAAACTTCCCCATGCACTAATCCCACAATGGTTTTGCAACTGTCTGAGGTCCACTTCTTGCGACCTTGCGCTGGCTTTGGACCCTTGCATTACAATTGAATGCAAACACTGGCACTTCCCATCAGGAATAGTGCCGCAAACGGTAACTGACGGTCCTGAGACCCTGTACATGCCAGTCATGCCCACATGGGCCACAAATATTCTCTTTTGGCCCTGCAAAGGACAGGTGTAAGACGCTATACCCTGCAAATTCTTGCATGTGCTGCCTTCAGCAGGCACAAAATACATCGAGCAATCAGACTGAGCTACCGCTAATTGGGGCACTTGTTGCCCGGTGCATGGGGTCCCACTTGCTTAATTAGTTGAGCCTTGCTCACTCGCTGGCAAGCACACGCAGTTCTCTGATCTCGGATCGAAGCTTGTCGAAGTTGGGGGCAGGTCCGGCCCTGTCACTGGCCAGGGCGACTCCGTGGAACAAGTCGCCCAGGATCGTCCCAAGGCATTTCTTGGCCTGGGCCGGGGCTTGCCACTGCTGCCGAAAAGCCGGGGACATCACCTGGTCGAAGAAGCCGTCCTGCAAGGCGTCCTTCAGCAGGCCGGGCGTCAGCTGCTCGCTCCGGTAAGCTGCAGGCCGGAAATCGGATCGCTGGAAGAAGGGCCGGAAGCCCTCAGGAAGCTGCTCCCAAGGATTCTGCTCCGAGTCGACCCGGAACGCCTCCGAAGAGAGCGCCCACAGCAGCTCCCAGCCGAACCATCGGAACAGCTGCTGCTCAGAGTCCTCTTGACCTTGCTTGTCATCAGCCCCGCAGGTCCTCACGATACCGTAGTCAATGAGCTTGACCTCCACGTCCCGGCTACCGCCATCGGTGCGGACCATGATGTTGTCCGGCTTCAAGTCCAAGTGGAAGTGCAGCTGACCCTCGCCATCCGGCTTCGTCATGCCAATCATCACGGTCAGCAGCTGGTCCAGGACATCCAGCGCCTGCGTCACATGGGTGATGCCATCTGGGGAGTGGAAGCGGTGCGCCGCTGAGTTCAGGGTGATGCCCTCAGCGCGCTCGAAGACCGCGAAGGGCTGGCCGTCCTTGGCATCTGTGCCAACGCCCAGGCAGTCCACGAAGTGCTGCGGGTACCGCGCCTTCATCGTCTGTGCAAAGCGGGACTCCCGCATCACATCGTCCCAGTCCGAGTGGCTGAACACCTTCACCACCTGATGCGGGCTGCCTTGGACTGGATAGACCCCACCATAGGCGCCAGTGCCAAGCTTCAGGTTGAAGTCTGGCATGAACTTCTCCCAGGCCACCCTCTGAAGCTGGTCGAACTTTCGGGCACGAGCAGCTCCCTCACGAGCTCGGCCCAGCAGTCGGGGCAGCTCATCCTGGTCGACCTGCCGCGGCATCTCCTTGACGGCTCCGATCACTCCAAGAACGCTGGCACTCATCTTGCTAGCACTTCGATGTGAGATGTCTTGAGCTATGGGACAGCTGCCACATGAATCATGATATGGTGCTGAATCACCTATGTGTGTATATATTTATATATATATACACGCCCAGCACCAGCAATCTGGAATCCTGTCTCTGAACACGTATGACACAACTCAAAAGACGTGCAGTGCTAGACGGCTAGGTGGTAAGCATCCAGTCAAAGAAACTCGGCTTTCGACTGGAAGATTCTTCCAGTCCTTTTTACTTGGGGATCCCAAATTTCGGGCTTGGAATGCTTGTAAAATCTGGAGAATCAATGCCAGTGGGGCTGTCTCAAAAAGAGGCTTTGTCTGAAAACAATAGTTTTGCGGCGAATGTTGCTCAATTGCCTTTGGACGCAAACAGTTGTTCTTTGAAGCAAGCAGCTGAAGCTCTCCCTCGCCTGAGACCCACTGAGGGTCTGGTACAATAATCGCAGGGTTCCCTTTTGTACGCGGTGGGAAAGGTAGGTATAGGGGAGCAAGGAATCCGGGGTTAGTGCACGAAGGAGGTCTTCCCAAAAAGTTCAAAGTCCATGCACTTAGGAAGTGAGATCTTGGTCTTGCATGTGCGAATGCCAAGCCACGAGAGCAACTCCGGCCCACAAGAGCATAAGATTGGTTTGTCTTGGCCAAGCTAAACATATTCTCTGCGGCTAGGCCTGACTATCTACTTTCATGAAACAGGTATGACTTGGCCAACCAGTTTAAGCCATGGTTTAAACCACTGAAGTCATTTTTTTTCCCTGTAAAGGGGCCCCGGGTCTTGCTCAAACAAACTTGGCCCTACTTCTTGGCCTCGGTCGTTCTTACAACATCTCTCCCTCCGCCCGCATCAAGCTCCTCGCAGCACCTTAGCAAAAAAAACTCAGGCCGCGAAAGCCTTACAACATAAGATTAAAGAAAGGAGACCTCAGTGAAGCGTACTACCTCAAGTCTACGACAGGAATCCGCCCCTTTCCACTTGAAACATCACACCATGAAAGGGAAGCTCGCTTCAATCTGGCCCAAAAAAGTGATGCTTGGAACCGCCAAGGGACATATCGCGATCTACTGGACCGTTGGACAACCACCGGGTTCCAAAGCAATTTCGAGCAAGCATCCCTTGCAACCACTTTGAGGGACCCAGAGTGGTAGGTCTTGTCAGAGTAGATGTTGTTTGATTCCCCCGTAGAATCTGCCTTTCACTAGTTGGAAACTGCCAACGTAGCGGACGTTCCAACTGGATGAGCTTTTGTCAGCCCCCATGTGGTTGCCAAACTGACCATAGGAAGTGTCCAGGCGAAATCGCTATCAAGGGTTCCAGCGAAGGGGAAGGTACTACCTAAAGCCTACGACCACGCTTCCCCCGCTTTCCCTTTAAACCGACATGCAAAGGGCACAAACAAAGCAAAACAAAACAAACCAAATAAAAACAAAAACAAACAAACCCACAGACAAACAAACAAACAAACAAACAAAACAAAAACAAACCATCAAACACACTTAGACTTCTTTAGGGGGGGTACCTGAGGCCTACGAGTCAAAGTGAGATTCCGGCAGCTGCAGGGAGAGCTGGCGCAGCTGCCGCAGCTGCAGGGCGTTCTTGGGGGAGAGTCGGGCCTGGATGACCCGCATCCCACCGATTTGATGACTCTCTTTTGGTAGCTCAGAGGAAGCCAAAAGGAAACCCTTGCGAGCTCAGGCATGGGACCCTTGCGAGCTTATATTGTTTTGGGGAGAGCACCCCCCTTTGAATGAACACATTAGAAGGTGTACTTTGTGTTTCATCTAGTTGTTGTTTGCTTGTTTGTTTGTTTGTTTGTTTGTTTGTTCGTTTGTTCGTTTGTTTATTTGTTTGTTTGTTTGTTTGTTTGTTTGTTTGAATAGCCTTTTTTGGGGGGGAACTGTCTATCCACCCCGGGCATCTCAACCCCTCCCTCAACCCTGCCTCATAGTGCTGGCCATAAGCCTCCAGATCCTCCACCGAGCACTTGGCCTCTCCGGACAAAACTGTGCGCTTGACCCCTCACGTGTTTACATCGAATAGATCCGAACACGGCTGCGGGAAATGGAATCCACCAAAGACTAACCCATATAGAGGGGGGATTCCAACTTGTATCACATGGGGACGAACCCCATCCCAGAACCTTGGATCTGAAGGAGTATACTGTCCCCACATGTTTCAAATCAATCTGAAGATGAATGAACTCCTGCTCCAGAGGTGGTTTGTCCACTGGGGCTTCGATGCATCCCAGGTGCTAGGCTTCGCCTGTTCCGAGGATTCATCCGTCGCCTTCAGCCAGTAAGCTGGGATTGTGTTTGCCTGGGTTGCAATAGCTCCCGAGATCCATGGCGAGCAGTGTGTCGCCGTGGCTTTTTGTTTGTGTGTGAAGGAACCGAGCCATGATTTCAAGCATTCATCATGCTTCCCAAACAAGACCTCCCACACACTTGGAGTCTCCATGACACTTTAAACATGGGGTCATTACCCAAAAAAAGGTGTCATGGACCCATTTTTTAAGGGTCATGGAGACTCCAGGTACTGTACGTGTTTTTTTTGGTTGCCGCTGTTTCCGTGTCTTGCTTTCCGCCATTCTAGGGGGCTGACCTGAAATCCGTCCCAAAAACCCGAGCTTGAGAGTTTCCCTTTTGGTCTCCTTCAGCGGGGCGCCGGTGCTGTGGAGTCCCACTGATTTCAGCCAGGATCTCGTCTATGCCTTCGTTCGCAAGGAAAATGAAACTGGAGATCGGTTCCTCCCCCAAATCCAACAGGAGAGAAACAAGGCGTGGGGATTTCCGTTAAGGTGGGGATTCTTACAGGTACTTTCCATGTGCCTTGTTCCAACCCGGGTCCTTCTCTCTAAATGCAACCGGAACCGGCCTGCTGCAAAGTCACTGTGACCGAGTTGGACTCGCCAATGGCCTCGGGAATCATGTTTGAACTTGGGCGAGGTTCAAGGGGCAGAGGCTCAGGTGTCTTTGTGGTTTAAGACTAGGCCGGTGTGTTTTCCCAGCGGTGGGGTTGTTTTGGACCAACCTCAGTGAACCTTCAATCAACTTCTGCCAAGTACAATAATTGGGTGTTGTATCAAGCGGGCCATTGCCTCACTTTCCAGGTTCTCCAGTGCCGCACGCAAATTTTAGGTTTGCCGAGAGATGGAGATAGGTACATCGTCGAAATGGAACAATTCGGGGCCCTAAAGGGCAATCAAACAACCCCCCAGATAGGCTCACCAAACTAAGAATACATCGGTACCGTCAGGACATCCAACCGTCAGGAAATCAAGGGTGAACAAATCCTCATCCAAACTCGGAAATTATTGTAAGCATAGGTGTCCGTTTGGCAAAATAGATGGATTTCCCTGGTAAATGGAACAACACCCATCTAAACCAGTGCCATCTAGTTTCAACCAAACTAACCTAAAAAGGACGCCTATGATTGTAAAGGAAAGGATGAAATCCATTCGTATCCTAAGCCCCCAAATGGGAGCCCCTCAAAGTGAATTGTTGCCTGGTGCCTTTCCGTCCCTGCGATCCACAAAATGCACGGCTGCGACTGCGCCGCCAACCACGGTGGATGATAGGAGATTCAACAAAAACTGCCACCATGGCCTTGTGGAAGGGGTGACAAAAAGTGCCTTGCGGCAGCCCAAAAATGAGCGTGCAATCTTCATATAGTATATATGTTATGTAAAAGAATAATCACAAAAGGCTTGTCTATAAATACTAAGCAGTCGTTTTGAGCGACACGGAGCTAACCGGATTCGCGCGAGAAAACCGGAAAACCGAGAAAACAGGAAAACCGAGAAAACCGAGAAAATCGGAAACCCGATAAAATCGAGAAAACCGAGAAAACCGCGAACACTGCGAAAACTGCGAAAACCGGAAAAGCACGAAGCCCGCGAAAACCATGAAACCGCGACAACCAGGTGAAAACCACTAAAACGCAAAAACCGTGAAACGCCAACATGGGAGAAAGGTGAAAAGGCGCAAGCTTCAAGAACAAAGGCGAACGCCTTGAGAGCCAGCAACGGAGCTGTCTGGTTTTCTGGTTTTCTAGGTTTTCTAGGTTTTCTCGGTTTTCTCGCGGTTTTCGCGGTTTTCGCGGTTTTCGCGGTTTTGCGGTTTTCGTGGTTTTCGCGTTTTCTGATGTTCGCGTTTCGTGGTTTTCGCGGTTTTCACGGTTTTCACAGTTTCGCGCTTTTCGCGCGTTCGCAATGTTCGCAGGTGTTCGCTGCGAGTTTGTGTTGTTAGTATGCCTACTGGCCTTGCGTTTTGAGCCCCAGCGGTCATAGAAATAAGATAGGTAGGTAGATAGATAGATAGATAGATAAATTAGATGAGATTTGATCAGATTAGATTAGATAGAGAGATAGATAGATAAATCGATAGATACATAGCATGGGAGAAGACAGGATAAGACAGGATAAGACAGGATAAGACAGGATAAGACAGGATAAGATAGAAGATAAGACAGGACAATGTGTGATAAGATAAGATAAGGTAGGCAAGATAGATAAGATAGATAGTATAGATATGATAGGTATGATAGTCAAGGTAGATAAGGCATATAAGATAGATCATGTAGATAAGATGGAACACGATAGTGAGATAGATACGATGCGACAGATAGGACAAATAGGAAAGATAGGATAGATATGATAAACATGATAGATAGGATAGATAGGTAGGTGTCTAGGTAGATAGATAGATAGAGAAATGGATATGCAGATAGATACATAGGATACGATAGATAGATAGATAGATAGATACATAGGATAAGGTAGGATTCGCTAGGATAAGTCGGGAGAATATATGGTAATATAGCATAGGACAGGATAAGCCAGCATAAGGCAGGATATGGTAGGATGAAAAACGGCTAACATATGATTATATATATATATTGACGTGGATGAATAGATAGAGAGGTAAACATATATATATATATATATACATATATATATATATGTATATCTATATATATATATATACACAGGACAAGATACGCTACAACAGGATAATATAGGATAAGACACGGAAAGATTGGCCAACATGGGGTAAGGTAGGACAAGTTAGAACAAGACATGATAAGATAACATATTATAGAATAATATACGCTAAGGAAGCTACGACAGGATACTATAGAGGTAGGTAAGCTAGACAAGGTAGATAAGGTAAATTGGATAGACATGATAGATGAGGTAGACAAGGTAGATAAGACATACGATACATCAGATAGATAGATAGACAGATAGGATCAGATAAGGTGATAAGATATGATAAGATATGATAAGATAGGGTAAGACAGGATAAGATAGAACACGATGGGATAAGATAGGATAAACCAGGATAAGAAGTTAAGACAGGATAATACAGAATAATATATTATAAGAAAAGACAAGGTAGGTAATGTAGCTAGGTAGGTACAATTGATGCGATGCATAAGGTAGATCAGATAGATAAGATATAATAAGATAGATGTGATAGGTAGGATGGGATAGATGGGAGGTAGGTGGGTGGGTAGGTGGGTAGGTTGGTAGATAAATCGATAGATACAGAGGAACAGATAGGATAAGGTAGGAACATATAGCAACATACAAGGTAAGGTAGGATAACATGAGATCGGCTAGGATAAGAGAGGATAGGACGGGATAAGACAGGATAAGATAGGATAGTAAGGCTAATACAGGATAAGATAGAATACGATAGGAGAAGGTAGGATACGATAGGAAAATAGGATTAGATGGGATAAGACAGGATGAGGGTAGGATAAGACAGGATAATACAGAGAGATAGGTAGATATATAGACACAGATCGATCGATACATAGGATAGATAGGCCAAGACAGGATAAGACACGGTAAGATAGGCCAAAATGCGATAGATAGGAGCAGATAGGATAATACAGGACAAGCTAGGATACGATAGGAAATAAAATAGGCTAAGATAGCACAAGACAAGATAATCTATGATAAGATAAGATAAGGTAGGTAAGATAGATAAGGTAAATAGTATAGATATGATATGCTAGACAAGGTAGATAAGACGTATGATATTTATCAGATAGATCAGATGGACAATCTAGATAAGATACAATGAGTTAAATAGGGCAGGTATGAACGATTTTATAGATATGATATCTAGATAGGATAGATAGGATAGATACGGTCAATAGATAGATAGATAGACAAGCTGATAGATGGATCGATAGATAGACAGATAGATAGATCGATAGATTGGTAGATAGATAGATACATAGATGGATATAAATAAATAAATAGATAGATAGATAAATAAAGAGAGATATAGATAGAGATAGGTAGATAGAGATAGAGATAGAGATAGATAAATAGACAGATAGATAGATCAATAGATATATAGATAGATAGATAGATAGATAGATAGATAGATAGATAGATAGATAGATAGATAGATAGATAGATAGATAGATAGATAGATAGATAGATAGATAGATAGATAGATAGATAGATAGATAGATAAGATAGATAGATAGATAGATAGATAGATAGATAGATAGATAGCTAGATAGATAGCTAGATAGATAGATAGATAGATCGATAGTCGGATAGAGATAGATAGATAGATAGACAGATACAAATATAGATAAATGGATAGACAGAATATGGGATGCGTTTGCCACCTGTTCAAAGGGTTACGTCGCGCGAAAGTTAGCATTTGCACGGTTTGACCGCTTTCGTGGGTTTCGCGTGTTCACAGTTTTCGCGGTGTTCGTGTGTTTTGCCGCTTTCGCAGTTTTCGCGTTTTTGCCGTTTTCCTGGTTTTCGCGGTTTTCGCGGTTTTCGTGATTTTTGTCGTTTTCGCGGTTTTCGCGGTTTTCGCGGTTGTCGCGGTTTTCGCGTTTTCGGTTGCAAAATCCGCTTAGCGCACGTCACGAAAAAGAATCGCACAGTATAAATAGGAGCCCTCTCCCCAAAACCGGATGGATTGTTTGCCTTGCCAAATCCGAGAACAAAACACTCCACAAAGGCAAGCACGCGCCCACACAGAAGAAACACACCGCCCCAGCAAGGCAACCCTGAGACAATACACACCCACATGGACTCACTCGATTTCCTCCCCCCAAAGAAAAAGGAAAGAAAGAGAAAGACAAGAAAAGAAAGACACCACCCCAGCAAGGCAACCCGCAACCCGCATGGACTTATTCGAATGCAGAACAACCTGGATCCCAACCCCCCCCCCAAAAAAAAAAAATGAAAAAGGACCACTGAAAAAAGAAGAAAGACAACCTAGAAAACTCACTCATTTCCTCAACCACAAAGCCAAACCGATCAAGCGCCAGGCCTCCAGCAGGTTGTGCGCCTCGTCGAAGATGAGCACGTTCCCCTGCACGCAAAGCAGGGTGCATCCTTTTGGGGCGGCCGGATTTATCTTGGACCAAAAAAGACCTGGTCTGACCATACTTTTGGCACAATGGATGAGTTTCCCTGGTAAGGGCATAAAACACATCCAACCCAATGGAACCCATCTATTAACCATACCAGTGGATCCAATCTGTTTTTTTTACCTGGTGGTTTATTCATCTACCAGGGCCATCCATCCGTCTCTTGTTTGGGGGTACCGCTTCTTTCGTGGTTTTTGAAGGGGAACGAAAGAAAACAACATCTTTTTGGGGGCCGAACTTTAAAGAAGACAAACCACATGTGTATATCGGGCAACTCTTGCTTTGAAAGGGACCTTTTGGTCGGCTCCATCGCGTTAGTGCACCGGAGTGTAACTGATCAAAGGGACATCTCATTCCGTTTGCTTCAGCCTGCTGGCAAAAACAACAGCATTTCCAGCAGTGAAATTGATTCCCTTTCAAACCAACAGGGAAAAACTACATATTCTAGGTCCTCCAGTAGAGATAAGGCTACCCTTTTTTCTGTAGCCTATTTTTGTAGGGGAACCCTCCCCCAAAAAAAGAAATTGTAAAAGGGCACTACCGGCGGACCTAGGTTAGATTCCCTTTAAAACCAACGAGGAACAACCACATATTCTTCCATTTGGTTAAGACCCCTGGATTTCTTTATTGGTTTAAACAAAAAATCCCGTAGTGATAAGTTCCAATTCAAACCAAGGAGAAAATCAACATGTCCTCCAGCCGGAAGCCTCTCCGCTCTCTCCGAGCTCCGCAGGCGCGCATGAGCGCGCCTCGGTGCGGAGGCCCAGCTTGCGTCTGGTCTCTGCACTGACCAGCGAGGCGTAGGGCACCAGCACCACATCCGCCTGAGCTTTCGGGCGGCGTTTTTTTGGCGAAAACACGCGGGGTGCAGCTGTTCGGACTTCGCTTCATATGGCCGTGGCTCAAAAAACCGGAAAATTCCGAAATGGGTTGCCCTGGTAAGTGGAAACATGGACCAAGCCTGCGGTTTGCCCCGCCGGTTTAATTTTGAGCCACACCCATATCTACTGAAACAATAAAGATTCTAGGGGCTTCCCCATTCTTCCAGGGATCCTTCTTTTCAGGAAACCATCAAAACCCAGGGAAACAGCTTGTTTTTGAAAAGAACGATGGTTGAAAAGAATGGAGAAACAACCCCTAGAAAGATATAGCACGGTAACCATGGTGCCAAAAGTGGCCTGGTTGGTTGCCCTCCAACGTTGGTTGGAACCTGACGCTGGTTGGGGGGAGGGCATCTTTTAAACTCCTTGTGTGTTTGGGGGAGTTTACCATCCTGCATCGGGATTTTACAAGCCCTGGCAAATCATGCTAGGCAACAAAAGAGCTTTTGCCGGCTTTTGGCAAAGGTGATGCCGCTTAAACTGCCGAATGCAACGCTCAAGGGGCGATTTTTCTCGCCGATCAAGGGTCGTGGAACCCCAGTGCAAGAGGATGAGTGTGGACTGCACGGACACACACGCATGGAAACAGTTCGCAAACACACGCGCATGCAAAACACCATGGCGTCAGAATCCTGTGGATGGACAAAATCCTGCATCACTTTGAAACCATGGAAAACCATTCTTTGATCATTTGACAGGGGAATCATCATTTTAGGGTGTCTTAGGTGGTGCAGGATTTCGTCCACCCGCAGTCAGACCCAAGTCCAAAAGGGGCCTACCCAAAACCGGCCTCGGCTGCCTATCTTAACTTAAGCGGACGCTTCCTCCTGTCCATTGGTGGTAACAACTGACTCATCACCAAGGAGCCAAGGAGACAAGCCTCCATCTTACCGAGAGCGTGGACAGGGCCGGTCACAAAACCAGCGCTCAATTTGGGTCTGTCTCAAAATGAGGGATCTCTCCAAATGGGTGGTTTCAATTTGGATTCCTTTAAAACCATCCAAACATATACGTACCCGTTCGCCTCGTTTGCGGGAAAGCAAAGGAGAATCGCAAGGGCCCAACAGAAAACTCAGCCTGCAAGGGGTGATCAATATTCATTCAGTTTTGACCACGGGTAACTTGTCCCATGTGGCAAATATCAAACCTTTTTGGTGGTTGTTTCCCACGTATCACGGACCTTTTGATCAACTCCCATGTGAGCCTCTCACGCCATTGCGCAAACCCGAGACGATGTTTTTCGGGCGTTTCCTATTGGGAGGCAACTCAAAAAGAACACCCAGGCCCAACTTTACGCAACCCCTCCTCTTCATTCAAGTGGGTGTGGCTCAAATTTAAAGTGCCAGGGTTACACAGGTTTGAGTCTTTGGTTCCATTTACCAAGGTGCCATGTTGGTACATGCTGTTGAGCCATGGCCAAGTAATTTCCTTTCAATCAGCCGGTTTATCCAGTGTTAGAGGCTCGGGAAAGGCACTTAGAAATGAGATGTTACCCACAGAAACTGCAGCTTGCAACTGCCAGCTTTGGTTCAAACATCGCAACGGCACCTCCGGTATGGGGAAGTGATCTGAAGAGGGTGCGGCTTTCCATAGATTCGAGATCAATCAAATTCAAATAGAAAGACGTCAAGATGACTGGACTCCCCCCCATAACAACCCACGGGGGGTCGACCCCATAAAAGCCCTGCATGTAGTGGCTTTCTTGTGTCTGGATATACCTACCCTATGCTTCCTCGACTATTTTTTAAATAGGGGTTGTTCAACCCCTATTTTTTGCATTGACAACCCCTATTTTTTGACGTTGGCCTTTGGGGTCCATTTTGGGTTGTTACTTTGTTGTTTTATCGAAATTACGCCTGCTATTGCAACCTCTTAAGAAGCCTTGGGAGCCAGTAGATTATTATTTATTGATAGGGTCCTCGGCGCCCTTTCGTGTTTGCACAATGCACCTGCTGAAAGTCTTGCGTAGACGGAGCCTTCATTCTAGCAAATTCTAGATTTTTCCTCTGCAATTTGCGCAGGTGGCACGAACAACAAGCAATTGTGTGCTTGCTTTTCCGCTCCAATTTTCACACAGCTCCAAAAACGATGTGAGCGTAGACAAACCGTAGACAAAGCGTAGAAAAAACCGTAGAAACACCAATTTCTTGCGTAGAACCACTATTTGTTGGCGTAGAACCACTATTTGTTGGCATAGAACTACTATTTTTAGGCGTAGAACGGGCAATTTTTGCAGGGGACCCAGAAGATCAACATTCTCACCCTGGAATGGTTGCTGTGATGGGTAAATAGTTTTGCTGTCCCGTTTTGTTTGGTTTGGCTATGAAGGTGGGGCAAAAGAAGGACAGAAACGGTCAGAAAAGGATTCACCCTCACGCGCTACATGGCCATGTTAAGAAACCAAGCAACATAGAAGCCAACATTAGCCTTGAAGATTGTAACACATATTGCTGAATATGAAAATACACATTCGGCTTTGGGATCCCATGAGGCGGCCTTAGCGTCAAGTCTTTCCTAGTCCCTGTTCCAGTCCAAAACGGAGGCTGCCGCTCGTCATCAAAAAATAGTCTTCATCAACAAAAAAGCGGGGTTGTCACAACGACTATGTTTTTAATAGGCTTTGGAAGCATAGGGCGTAGAGTCTCCATGACCTAAAATAATGGCGTCATGGACCTATTTTTATTTCGGGTCAGAAGGAGACTCCAGGTGGCTTTCTTGTGTCTGGAGCTCTTCCCATCGAACTCCGGCTGATTTGATCTCAGATCTCAATTCGGCCTCCTGCAGGGCTCGCCGGCTTCCGTAGTATGGGCAACCTGGCCGAAAACACGAGCCGTGGCCCTGGAGAATTGCCAACCCCCCACACATCAGCCATGGAACCTCACAGCAAAACCATCCTTCCCAACAAGTGAGCTTAAGAAGCATCCTTTGAGGGGAACTTCTGTGACCTCAGCAATTGAACATTGCTACGTGGTTGGTTCACTCAAACATGAGGAATCTGTCTTACTGTTCCTTTGTCTCTTTGGTTGTCCCTTCACCATTTCGTGTGGGTTGAGTGTCAAACACACCGACAGGTTGCCTTGTCAAAATGCCCTTTGGGACCTTGACGGAAGGGAATCCATGAGCCAACAGGCGAAGAGGTCGATTGGCTTCGGGCTAGTGCTCAACTTCAATTGATCACAACTAGGTCCAGTAGAGAGGTAAGAATAAAGGTACCCGATTTTTTTTCGGTAGTCGATTTCGGTAGGGGCGGTCCCCTCCCCAAAAAAAATAAATGGTAAAAGGGCACCACTGGGAAACCTTGACAACCATAGGGTCCCAACACCCTGCTACTTTGGGGTCTTCAAGGTTGTCAAAGGCCCTCATATTGTCAGTCTTGGAGGTGGGGCAAGCTGATCCCGTGCTTCGCATTCATGACCTAATCAGCATTGAGGTAATCCTCACACTTTTCACTGGCACCCGCAGTATTGCAAGTAGGCTCCAATCGCTGCAACTTACAAGAGCTTTGCGGAAATTATGCCGCTTGGTCGGCTCAGTTGCAATGCTTGCGCGTGCCTTTTTGATTGCACCTTCTTCTCAGGGTGCCCCTTTAGTTCATATAGTCTTTAGATACAGGGCTCATGAATAGATACCCAATAGATACAGGGATTCGGTTTTCATGTCTTCAGGGTACCCTAGAGGTCCTCTTTCAGGGCGCCCGGTTTTCGGCGACCTCGCCGTCGAGCGCCCGATTCGTCGGATCTCCCGGCGGATCTCCCGGCCGCCGCCCACGGGAGCTCGACCGCGCTCAGCCATGGCCTACAGGTCTCGTGCCGTCCCTGGGACCTTTGCGGTGGGTTTTCCATTGACTACCCCCGCTGCCCCCCCCCCCCCGCCCGAAAATCCGTAAAAAACATGACACACGCGGTGGCAATTCCTTGGCTTCCCCCCCTCCCCCCCAAAAAAAAGCAAGTAAACACGTGACACACATGGTGGTTTTTCCTTGGGCTTCCCCCTCCCCCCGCAAACAAACAAGAACAAACCTGACACACATGGTGGCGTTTCCTTTTTGCTTCCCCAAAAAACAGCAAACAAACAAACAAACAAACAAACAAACAAACAAACACACAGAGTCGATGCATGGGCAAGCTTTGGGTGCCAAGGCCGGCCGGTGATGAACCCATTGCAGCAAAGAAGTAGACTCCTGATTGACGAAGTCCATGTGACAAACCATCTACCGACTGGTGCACAGATATGGGTACCTGGGTCTCCATGACCCTTAAAAATGTGGTCATTACCCAAAATAAAGGGGTCACCCATTCTTAAAGGGTCATGGAGACTCCAGGTATGTGTCAAAATGTGTCAAAATAGGGGGGAACATCCTCCTTGGGCATCCTGGAATTGGCCAACCCGATTTCGGGGTACTCAGCCCGATTCCCAAAACAAACAGACATGGCCATCGGCTCCCACTGTGGGCAAATTGAGTCCACTTCGGGTGTCCTCCATCCCAACTGGTACTCACGATTTTGCACCCACAGGTTTCTACGATGACATGTGGTGAGTCACGTAACCGTTTAACCTGGCGGAAAAACCAACCCCCGGCTTTCCAACTCTGAGACGGGAGTCTCATCCCCGTTGATCACTTGAACGACTCCCACATATGGAGAGGAGAATAATTACCATGCCAAAGATCCGTTCCCTTGGCCGCTTACAGAAAGTGGCATGCACAGCGCGAGATCCATGGCCCAATGCTGGGTGTTTCTGAATGTTTAAGGGCTACTCTCTTAGGGAGGGCCCCTTTGTTCCAAACAACAGCTTCGATGCCCCGAAAAATGGCGGATTTCACCAGTGATGACACTCTTTTGGCATCCTTTTAGCACTTTCCAAGGGAAACACCATCGCACCAGAAACAAATCCAAGCTCGTACACTCTGTCTCCTGTTTCCTTTCCTGGGGTTTCCCTTCATGTTTGCTCAGATGCCCAGTGGCCATGGGAAAAAAAAGGGCATCCAAAAAAAGAAGAAGGAAACAACGGGCACCACTAGGCAACTGGGTTTGCCGGGGTGGGTTTCTTTTGAACATCTACCAGCAAACGGGGTCCGTCGTTCCCAATGCCAATCGCCTAGAATCGATCCCCGACCTCGATGTCCATCATCTGCGAGAGGAACACGTCTGCCATGGCCTTCCGAAATTCCGACGTGCACATCCAATGCGGAAAGCAGCACATCCGTAGAAGAAAAACACAGCGAGCCCGGCGTCAGCACAAAGTTGGCGCGAAACGCGGAGCTCGTCCAACCAATATATGTCCCGCACCATTTGCCAAATTTGACGAAACTGGAAGTGACAGAAGCCGTGCAAAAGCAGGGCCGGCAACATATGGCCCAAATGACCCCAAAAGACCGCACAAAAATCAGCGGGTTCTTGGGACCCCAAGTGAGGTCATGGATGTTGCCAGTTTGTTTCGCCGTGACTTCCTTTTCAGGGTACCTTCATTGCTGTTTTAAAACTCAAGGTAGTTCAGCAGGAAAACCGCAATTCGGTACTTGTGTTTCCTTTCTTTTGGGGGGGTCCCCCAAAATAGACGCACACATATAAATATAAATGTGTATATATATATATATATAAATACATATATATATATATTATGTATACTATAATATATATATACATATATGTATACTATAATATATATACTATAATATATATATATATACTAGACAATATATATATATATTATATTTTGTTAATGTGGTTTGCTTGTTTTGCCTCCCCGGCAGCTGCTTGGCCGTCACTTGGAGCCTGCAGCCCGGCCGCCGCCCGCGGATGAGACGAACTTGGATCAACCACCAAGGCGCGTGGTGACCAGCCTGCTTTTGGGGGTTAGCTTGGTTAGGAAATCGATGGGTTCCACTGGTTTGGATGGGTTTTTCCACTGGTTTGGATGGTTTTTTCCACTACTTTAGATGGGTTTTATCCTGTTTGCCAGGGCAACCCATCATTTTTTTGTCAGAAGGTCACCTGTGGTGACTGCTCGCTGTTTGGGGGTAGAGTCCAAATCACCGTCACGGCGTGATCCGGCATGGATCCGGATGGCCGAAGGAGATGGGGGTTCTTCACCCCCCGAACACGACACGTGGACCACGTGGAAGCAGATGAGGTGGTCTCACTTCCCGAGCTCATGGACTTCAAGCTTTTTGGGAAGACCGTTTTAGAGGCAAGTAACCCAAAGTGTGGTTACTTTTTTTGGCCCATCAACTCAGGAAGCAGATGTCGGCGGCGAGCCAAGGGACATCGACACCCCGAGGTGTCGCCGGAGGTCATGGAGCTAGATGGCAAGGCTGAAAGTGAGACACAGGAGCAAGCTTCGCGATCTTCCATACTGCAAATTTCAGAGTTCCACTGCTTTTGGGCAAAATAACAGTAACTATATCCAGAAAACAACAAAAAACCTGTACAATTTCTCCCAACAAAAAACGCGGCTTCGACGAGCTCGCAAAAGGATGCCGCCCCTCCCCAGGGTCGCCCCTGATCGCCTCGGCGGACTTCTTCAGATCGCAGACGAGGCCAGCGCGGCGCTCAGTTGCGAGGCCTCGAGTACGAGTCAAAACCGACCGGTCCCCAGGAGTCACATCAAATTCCACGAGTTGTCACTTTTTACAGGTGATTTCCAGGAGTTGTCACTTTACATGGGATTCCCAGGAGTTGTCACTTTACATGGGATTCCCAGGAGTTGTCACTTTACATGGGATTCCCAGGAGTTGTCACTTTACATGGGATTCCCAGGAGTTGTCACTTTACATGGGATTCCCAGGAGTTGTCACTTTAAATGGGATTCCCAGGAGTTGTCACTTTACATGGGATTCCCAGGAGTTGTCACTTCACATGGGATTTCCAGGAGTTGTCACTTTACATGGGATTCCCAGGAGTTGTCACTTTACATGGGATTCCCAGGAGTTGTCACTTTACATGGGATTCCCAGGAGTTGTCACTTCACATGGGATTTCCAGGAGTTGTCACTTTACATGGGATTCCCAGGAGTTGTCACTTTACATGGGATTCCCAGGAGTTGTCACTTTACATGGGATTCCCAGGAGTTGTCACTTTATATGGGATTCCCAGGAGTTGTCACTTTACATGGGATTCCCAGGAGTTGTCACTTTACATGGGATTTCCAGGAGTTGTCACTTTACATGGGATTCCCAGGAGTTGTCACTTCACATGGGATTTCCATCAGTTGTCACTTTACATGGGATTCCCAGGAGTTGTCACTTCACATGGGATTCCCAGGAGTTGTCACTTTACATGGGATTTCCAGGAGTTGTCACTTTACATGGGATTCCCAGGAGTTGTCACTTTACATGGGATTTCCAGGAGTTGTCACTTTACATGTGATTCCCAGGAGTTGTCACTTTACCTGGGATTTCCAGGAGTTGTCACTTTACATGGGATTTCCAGGAGTTGTCACTTTACATGGGATTCCCAGGAGTTGTCACTTTACCATGGAGATTCCCAGGAGTTGTCACTTGAGATTCTCACTCCAAAGACCGACTGGAGTCATCCATGGGAGGTGTTTGAGTTTGTGTCGACTCGTGGGGAAATTCTTTGGGAGGACCCAAAAATTGCAAGACGGTAAGGGGTTGCACCGTTGATCAATAAAAGACTCATGGACGAACATGTATTGGGTGAAAGTAGATGGCACAGTTCCCCCATTTGGGTCTTAAGTAATTCCCCTTAAACCCACAGGGTTCGGACACTGAACCCCAAACAGATTTGTACAGGTTTTGCTATAGGTTCAATGGGGGGGTGGTATCTTCTCTTCAGGGTAAGGGGGTTCAAACTGAGAAGTTCCAAAAAGGAAAACCGAACTCCACGTTGGACCCGCCAGGTGGTCAGGGGGAAGGAAGTTCCAAAAGGAAAACCGAAATCCATGTTTGACACGCAAACGCGCCCTGTCTTCACATACATGGCCACTAGGGCTCGGCTTTTTTCTCCACTCACTCGCCCTTCCAGCTACATGGCCACTAAAAACTGGTGTTTTTGCTTTCCTCACTCACCATAGGGCTCGCGATGTTGTTCTTCTTTTTTTCTTTTTTTTCTCGACTCACCGTAGGGCTGGTATTTTTTCCGTCTCCACTCGTCCGGGCAATCCGGCGGCAAAGGTCGTTGAGGTGCTGCCCGCCCTTGGCGCGGCTTTTCAGCGCGTGCACGCAGAGGGACTGGCGAGCTCCCAGCGTCACCACCTCAAGGCGAGAGACTGTTGGGGAGTTAGGTGAGATCCCTTAGGTATGTGTTGGTGGGGGGAGGGGAGCAAAAGGGGGGCAAAGGCGAGATTAAGGAGTGTGGGTGGGGGGTGGGTGGGGTGGGGGGGCAAAAGGGGGTTCCCAAAAGCATCAGTTTGCTCAAACCAAAAGCAAATGCTTTTGGGGAGTGAAAAGTAAGATTACATCCCTCAAGGCGTGAGTGTGTGTGGGAAGGGGGGCAACAGGGGGGGGGGGGTGGGGGGTGCAAAGTGGGTTCCCAAAACCAACAGCTTTGAGCTCAAACGAAAAATGGCAGATGCTTAATTTTCCGATTTTAAGTGGGCTCCCCCCCCCAAAAAAAAAGTGTTCACCTAGCCCGTGGGAAATGGAAGGATAAGAGGGAATTCCGTTCAGCCCCCTCCCCAATTAAGGTGGGTGGATACATGACCTTACCATGGCTTTGGGTGGGTAACCACGATACACGCGCGATTCGGTTTTACATTTTGACGCTTACTGGCGCCAAGGGTTCGAAAGGCAATGAATAGAAGGGCGCGGGAAATGTTGGCAGTCCGGAAGCGCTCTAGCGACTGAGGGGTTGAAAGTGCCCCGGATTCAATCTGGAATAAGGAGGTCCTCCACTAAGTGGTTGGGGGATCCTTCCCTAAATTGGTTGCCCAGAAAAAAGAAGAAAACAAAAACACGATCCACCGCTGCGCCATCACGATTGGGCTCATGCCTCTGCGAAACGAGTGGCTTGCCAGAAAGTTCGTGTTTGGGAATCTCGAATCACCCCTGCTAAAAGGGTCACACAGATTTTGGGGCCCACTGTTTTCTCACTTGCAACGGAATTGAGAAGAAAGGGTCGAACTTGGAACCTTGACCTAGGATGCGAGTGATCTCCAAATTAGGAAAACTGGTCGATTCGCAAGTGACCTGCAGCAAACGAACCCTGCTAGTGGCTTAGATGTGATTTGCCATTGTTGAACGCATTTTGGGCTTCAAACCAGGTTTCCTGGTCCAACAATGCACTCAGCTGATTCATCTCAGGTCAATAGTACATCAAATCTCCAGTGGCCAGGTGGAACATGCAGGAAATAAACGCTTTCCAAATTGAAGGGGGGGTTTGTCTGACGAATTCCTAGTCTCAGTCCGGTCTTTGGTGGTTCCTTTATGGTATGTATACAGTGAGCTTAACATGGAACCAAAATTGGCCGCCATGAGAGGCAGCTCCTTTGGATTTTTGCCCCTGCTTGAGTCCCTGTTCTTCTGCGTGTGTATTTTTTGAGGCTCGGTATATGTTCCATCCAGGTGGAAAACAAGGGAAGCCCAAGGAAAACCACATTTTGACACGCACAGTATCTTCAGGTGAGTCGACTTGCTCTTTGAGCCAAGGGGTTTTGGGAATACACCAAACGGGGATCTCCTCAAGGAAGCCACTAGGCTTCAGGCAGAAGAAGAGACGGACGATCAAGCAAAGCGGGCGCCATCGCCTGAGCCTTTAAGACCGCCCAAAACAAAAAAGGCCGGGTCTTCTAGGTCCTCCAGTTGAGGTTAGAATAAGGGTACCGTGTCTTTTTTCTGTAGTCTATCGTAGTGGGGGAACCCTCCCAACCAAAAAAGTTGGTGAGAAAGGGCACCAATCGCTGGGGCACCTAGTCTTGGGGCCGAATGGAGAAGGCTCTGTTTCTTCAAAATCGCCCAAAAGGGGAGAGAAGGGCACCAATCGCTGGGGTACCTGGTCTTGGAACCGAATGGAGAAGGATCTGTCTCTCAACACCGCCCAAAAGGGGAGAGAAGGGCACCAATCGCTGGGGCACCTAGTCTTCCGAATGGAGAAGGCTCTGTTTCTCCAAATAAGGGGAGAGAAGGGCATCAATCGCTGGGGCACCTAGTCTTGGGACCGAATGGAGAAGGCCCTGTCTCCCAACACCGCCCTATTTTAGTGGACCCTCCCCCAAAAAAGGGTGGGAAAGGGCACTAATTACTGGGGGACCTAGCTCCGTTTCTCCTTTCCGCCCTGAAAACAAAGGATCGAAATCTCCGACTGGATCCCCGGCGGCCAAGTTCTCGGGCACCTCTTGGCTGGTTTTAATCTCCCGCAGCACCTGGGCCTCAGACATGGCGCGCGCGTGCCGCCCTGTGACTACGGGGCGTGAGGCCGGAAAATGCGAGAAGTTGGAGGTCCCAAAGGTCCCGAATGTTTCGGGGGGTTTCAGCAAACTGAGGGTTTGAACATAAGCAAAAATTCGGTAATGCTGGTCAGACTTGGCTCTTAGTGTGGTTTTTATCTGGCATCATAGTGTACCAATCTGAAACAAGACACGACCACTGAAATTTTGTCACCTTCATGGACAACCTGAATCCCATGGTGAGGTCGCTATGCTTCCGAGAGACGGAAAGCGTGTCTTTTTTTAGGGTTGGTCTCAAAAAGCAACAACACATCCAAATTGACCGAAGTGTTTGAAGTCCCTGGGTCACTGTTCCGTTCCCCTCCGGGTGGGGATGCGAAAATGTTTTCCTGCGATTTCCCGAACTGTCGAAGTCAAAAACCGATTAGCAAAACAAAAAACCACCAAGGAAGTCTTTTTTGGGGAACCCCTCTTTTGGGTTCCAGGTCAATTTGTACGGGAGTCTTCCTTTTTAGCGGGATGAAATTTGGACGGTTCAGGGGCGCAACTCCGGTGGAAAATTCAGGCCGCTGCCAGCTGCGAGTGAGTGCGGCTGCAGAAAATGATCTGCAACTTCTGCTGGAAAGCCTCCCAAGACGCGGGAGTAGGAGACCCCCCGAAATGGATAGTTTCCTTTGAGTGTTCCTTTAAAACGACCAGAAAAGGGGTACCCCATCTCTGTGTGATTTTGAGGGTACTCTGCTGCCTTCGTCTAGCTGAAAGCCAAAAATACTTTGCTTGATCCACTCGTGATTCCCGTTTAAAAACCATATTGCCTGAAGCAACTGAGTCAAAATCAGAAGCTGCCATGGGAAGTACCCAAGACATGTAATGGGCAGACCCCAAAGCAGATTACTGCTCAGGGCCAGTGTTTTGGGGGTGGGGCCCAAACCCAAACCTAAAAGCCCTGCACCCAAACCCTCAACCCAAAACTCTAAACCTGATCACGTGGTTCTCAAATAGTCCAAATGCTTCATAAAGGCCTTGCAACCCTGGTCACACCAAGTGGAACAACTGGGCACAAACGTCCAACCGCAATCGGTTTCGGGCGCTCACATGCACGCAAACCAGTGGCTCTTCCCTGGCCTCCTCCGAATGCTGCTGAGTCCTGCACTGGCACATCCGAACTCGGTCAGCTCCGTGCGCACCCTCATTTACAAACCCATTTCAGAGAAAGCAGAAAGTATAGGTGTGATTTTTTAAGTAAGGGACTTTTTACGGCGCACTTTTGAAATTTAGAGCTAGACAATGCCATAAATTATACATTTATACATGCAGAATCATGTGCTATTCTATGTATATATATATATTGTTGTGCTTAGCCGCCGCGGGATGTTGGTTAAAAAAAGGCGTTTCTGAAAGCCTGAACGAAAAACACTGTTTTTAGCCTAGTGACTAGCGACTAGACAAAAGGCGCGTTCGCACATCCCTTTCCGAATGAGTGTACTTAAACTATACATGCATAGACATAATTACCGTGAAGGACAAAAGCTAACAGTGTGCAGTGAGAGCTGGTGTAATGCTGACCCCGGATTAATAAACCCCTGTTTATGAATATGGGGGTGTCCCTGGTTTCTAGTGGGAATCACTGTTGGAGGGGAACACCCCCATATTAAGAAACCAGGGGTTCTGCTTCATCCGGGGTCAACATTACTTGAACTTATTACTTGGCAGGCGTGCGCTTTGCGCAGTTTCTTCGTGATCAAAGCAGCACGGACAGCAACAGCATGTGTATAAAAGGAGCCTGCAGGCACACGAGCTTGTTTGGATACATGTACGGAATATATATATATATATAAATATGCAACCCCCCATGGACTGTAAAATACAGGTCAACCGCACCAAACCAGGGTCCATGGGGGGGGTACCATATATATATATAATATAAACATTGGTCCATAGGCGGGTACATATATATATATATATACACATTCAGACTGTAAGTCATTCATATTACAAGCTCAGTTTGGCCAAAGCTCGTCAGTTCCTGGACACCTTCCCGGGCTACACAACAAATCTATGTTCAGACTCTCTTTATATGTAACTCCACCCTAACATTACCAAAACACAAAAAAATAGAGACCCAATACTTTTAGCAACCAAATACTTTCCTAAAACTCGAGCACCCATGCCAGATGTGTGTTTTGCCCCCAGCTGAAAATGAAGCGCACCCGGCCGGTTTCATGGCATAACTGTCCCTCAAACGGATCCTTCAAAACACGAATGTGTTGCTTTCTGCAGAAAATATGCTGGTATTGCGAGTGTCCTTCGATTTGTCAGAGGCGGCGTAAACTCGCTCATCTTGTTGGCTTGCATACGTTCAAAACTAGAATAGCTCATACGCGGCCTCCTAAAAGCGCATCACCAAAGAAATGCCATTATTTGTTCAAGATGAAGCTCCCCTGGCAAGGAAAACATGGTATCAAAAGATGTAAAAAAGCCCCTGACCAAGCATAGCAGCATGCAAAGGCACAGAGAATCAGCAAATACATCCATTTCCCCCTTAGGAGTGGTCTGGGGGGGGCGGTGGGACAAATTATGGTGCAAAAGAGGCGGCAGCAAATATTCTTGAGATGCTCCATCCGTTTCCTCCCAAACATGCAGCGTCATTTTGTGATATGCAGCTATCGGTTAAAAACTAATATGTGCTAGGACCTCCAGTAGAGAGGTTGAATAAGGGTATATTTTTTTCTGTAGTCTATTTTAGTAGGGGAAGCCCCTCCAAAAAAAAGGTAAAAGGGCACTACGGGGGGACCTAGTATATGTAGGCATCTGGTTGTTGCTTGATTTTGGAGGAGGGGGGCCTTAAAGGGAAACCACAAGGAACACTGCCATTTTTGCTTGCATACTCGTTATTTTCGTCAAAAGGTAAACCCTGCTGGTTGCACTCAATCGCATAAGTTTCTGCATAAGATGCATTCAGCACGGGTGTCTGGGCGAATCATAGCTCATATGAAAATAAAATTCATAGTTGGCAGATGTTAATGCTGATGATTCACCTGCACCTATCATTTCAGTCTTTGGATACGCGGAACACTTAAGGCACCCTTGGGATTGGCACGGCTTAGCGGGGAACATGGAAACAACCACCATGCTCCGGGCTCCTTTTAGGCATGCGAGCAACTTCAGGTAGAGATCCCATGCCTTCCGAGGCTGTGACCACACGATTTTGTCCGACTCCTGGATGGTTTGCCGACGATGAAGTCAGGCCTCGTAAATATTACCATGACCCCCTAAGTGGTGGGTGAAAGGGAAACAGCCTTTATTTTCTGACCTTGATTACTTACCCCCAGAAACCGTCAAAATAAGGACCCCAGACAAAGTCGCTGTTAAAATTCCAAATCCGTTGAAATCCGTTGATTTGGCAACAACTTGACCGTGAAATCGCAAAAAATCCGTTGATTGGCCCCCTTTCTGTGGTTGCCCCAAATCTGGAAAAATGGGATCGGTAGAAACATGCTGTACCCAAACCAAAGAATTGCTGGGATGGTCCCTAACCTTCATCTACTCGGTTTTTGAGCAAGTGGCTCATTTTTGAGCCCCGGACAAAATGACCAGTTTCCGGACACGGGACAATCCAGTAAACATATAGCCCTCACTATCACACTGGCAAAACATGGACTCTTCCTGATGAACCAGAAGAAGTGAAAACTTTGCGAACCACCAGAATGGTCCAAAGCCAAAAAGCTCCGATTGCAAGTCAGATCCACCGATCCGGTTCTACCCTCTGGCCATGGGCCCACATTTGGTAAACAGAACATATGTGCTCAGTGTATCTGAAATTTGTTGAACCCTGTAAAGGGTACTTGTTTCAGAGTGTTCAGCGTAAACAGAACATATGTGTGTGTGTGTGTTCAACCCTGATATGTAAAATTATGCTTTGGAAGAGACCCCAGTCAGGAATCATCAGTGTCTGACTTTCTCCTGGCCCTCGCCATTTTTCTCTCGATTCAGTGTCCTCGTCACTGGAGGCTCCAAGTAGAGCGCCTACCCAGGTGACGCAGTCGTTCAACCAAATCGACATGGAGCGGCCCTTTCCGGAGCAACGGTTTCACTGGGCTCATCAATGAACAATTGGGCAAGAACGTCACTTGCATGATGTCCTCATTAGTGAGGAAGGGGACCGGGCAGCGTGGGACTTGCCTGTCTTCGGTGATACTGGAAGGACTACTTCTGGACTATGGGGGGGGGAGTGAACCGAAAATCCGCACATTGCCACAATCACAGCCAGGAGGCAGCTTGCGGAAAAATGGTACCCCAACACACAAATCCCAACAAAACTTTAACATGGTCTAAATTTGGTTTGTTCAATATGGGGCATCCTCAATCCTACTCCACAAATCCCCATTAGCGTGAAGCTACCACGAGGAAAATCATATACACGAACATAAACGAGTCTGGCAAATGCAGCACATTTATGAGTACCAGCACCCCCCAACAGCTGCTGTTTCACATGTCCCAAATCCCAAGTACTGTCCAAAAAGCAGTCGTTGGGGGGGGTCAGGGTTGATTTTGAACAACTCAGTCCACACGTAACTCTCAGCTTGCACACGGAACCCCAAGCAACTATTTGGCCCATGCGTGCATATAGGTACCTGATTGTGTATGCTATCTGATTGTTACTCGCTCCCGCGAAAATTTAAAATGGAACCCAACAAACAAATAACATGCCATGTTTTGGAGGAATACTCACTTCCTGAGTTGATGGGCCAAACCAAACAAAGTTCAAACTTTCTGTTTACAACTAAAATGGTCTTCCCAAAAAGTTTAAAGTTCATGAACTCAGGAAGTGAGTGGAGGAAGCTTGGGGCCCCACGAGTCTTTTCGGGGTCCAAAGAATTCAAGTCCTCTGGGCGTCCGCCCGCTCGCGAAGCGAGCCTCCAGGGATAAGTTTTCCTGGCTCTCCGCGACCGGAGGCCTCTGGAAAACGAGGGGGGGGGGGGGTACGGCGCGGGTACGAGTGCCCCATTTTGGGGGTGCCCTATCTTCAAAAAAAGGGATTGATTTACAACTAGCTTGGAGACCGGGCTTGTAATTCTTGGTTTCCCTGAGCAGTCCGATTTCAGTCTTGTAAGGACACCCCCAAGAAAGAGTCCAAAGGAGTGAGTTGGTGGATAAAACAAATCATGGGTTGGGAGACTTGCGAATTCTTAACTGCAGTTAATTGGAAGCTCTTTTCTGCAGACGGATGAGAAGCCCATTGCAAGCACCGTGAAGAGGTGCCGCGAAAGGGGGGGTCCTCTGAGTAGGGTCCTCCGGATTTATCAGAAGTAAACTGTAACTGCATCACCCGCCGAAAGGACACTCACCAAATCAGTGGACCCGAATGGTCACCAAGATACACCTACCCTTGGGAATAGAGCTCGAACCCTGAACCAGGTTGTCGGTTCCACACCTCCTGGAGGAGTCATATCAGTCTGCGATAGTCGTAGATGTACAACCGTTGTATACTCGTTTTGCGTAACAACCGGGAAGGTGCTCCGAAAAACAACTCTGGGTGTTTTTAAGCGTAATGAGAAAACACAAAGAGGCCGAGGCGCCCCGACTGGCCAAATATACGCCATGAGCCATGGGATGGGGACCACTTCATTTCAGGGGTACCTTGTCAGCCCACTTCGGACCCAGGAGGAAAAGGTGATCACCTTAAAAAAAACAAAAAAAAAAAAAAAAACGGGGGGTGTTAGGACCGTGAAATCATGTTTTGATTGTTTTGTTTGTTATGTTTTCACATGTTTGTTGTCATCACCTTCTGGTCATTCAAAAATGGACCAAAGGGAAACCAACAAGACCACAAGTTGTCGATTCGCTTTGGGCCCCCAGCTGCACGTGGCGCCGCTTCGATTGCTGCTGAGTCCCACTGGAAGTTAGCGCCTGCGGCGAGCTGGGTGGTTTTTGCTGCTGGGGGCCTGACATACCCAAAAATACTGGGAGTATTTCGAGGGGGTATGCAAAAAAATATTTTAACATACCATGTCAAGTGATTTTTAAAGCCGAGGAAACCCTGCTTAAATGCGCCTTTTCGCAATGCTTCTGTTGATTGGTATATGGACATGTTGGCAATGGGCCATTGCGGTTCCTCAACTTGAGACAAACCCATGTTCCGTGTTCTTCCCTCTACGTTTTCGGCGTATCCGAACATGAGGCCAGTCTGACGAATTCTGTTCGTTTAAGTCCCACTTCAGGGGAATACTCACTGCAAACATCAGCACCTTTGTGGCCATTGCCCACTTTGTGGATTCGTGACCTGCGCAATCTTACCCCGGCTGCAAATACCCATGTTTTTTTCTCGGGCATCACTTGTCAACCTGACAAAAAGCAAGACATAAAGGGAGGTAGTGGGTATGTACCATGGAGTTCGAGTAAAGGGTAGACGGCTCGCCCTGGCTGTTCTCCTTTTAACCCAGATCACAAATCATCAGGACAAAGCAAAAACAACTCAGTGGGGAGAACGCCGACAAAGCAAAGAAACAGCCCAAACTGCCCGCCCCTTTTACGAGGGAGAAGACTTGTCGCTCTCTCACATGATCGCGAGGGCGTAACGGCGTAAACCTACCTGGAGGCTCCTTTGTCCCTTGGTTTTTGGGGTCGCAAAGTAAGAATTGCATTTTTTTGCGAAGAGGCGTTTTTGTTTTAACGTACCTTTTTGTTTGCAGTTGCCACAACCCCAAAAACAAAGGGCAAAGGAGGCTCCACAGACTGGTGTACCAGGGTGTTGTTTCTGATAGGGGGCATTCTAAAGGTCCCACATTGGAAGGTTGGATGAACTTCAGTATTGCTTGTGAGGGGGGTGCCGGAAAAGGACACAGGAGTTTGTGGGCCTGAGCTCACGCGTTTGCACTGCCCACCGCCCTGTGGCTCATTTGTAAGCCCTTGCCACAGTGTGGCAACGTGTGGAATCTGGAGGGTTGTGGCCTGACCCAGGCACGCTGCCCAAGCCGTGCAATGCATGCTTGCAAGCAAGTTGCACTGCGTGCATGGCCTTGCTTAAATGGAGCATGCGTGCAAATATACTTTGCCCGTCCGTCCAAAAACCATTTGCTCGAGCACGAAGTTTCTTGGAAATCGGGTGCTTGGAGTGGAATGGAAGAGTTCCTCAGCTCCAACAAGACGTTGAAGAAACAGATGGAAGAAAGAGGCACGGGAACCATCTTGCCTTGGTCTGTGATTCCTACGTTTCGACACACAGGCCTCGGTGGCCTGCCAGACTCTTTCTGGTATGAGGTTTTCAAGGTGTTGTACCCAGCGGAAGAAGCCGGACGGCAACAGTGTGCAACACTTTGGTTGTTTGTGACCCCTGTTTTCTTTCGCTTTGATATTTCCCTGTGTCAAGGAGATCCGTCTTTCGGAAACCCACGTGAAATCTATGCTGGGCAATTACGACGCGTCTGGCCTGGTGCGCCACTTGGTGTCTCGCACCCAAGGCAGGTTGGGGCATGTCCCTACACTGACCCTGGTTCCACAAAGTTTCGCTGGCTGTGGCAGGCTCTGGAAACTTCAGCGCCGCTTTGGCCTGCGCTGTGCTCACACCCCGTTCCCCACCCCCAACACGATGGGCTGTGGCCGTTGAGATTTGAGGGTTGGTTGAAAGTAAAAGTGACCCTGGGCTCGGTTTTTCATCGCAACACTGATTTGGTTTCCCTGAGCAAGCGCAATCCAGGGCTGTCTCATCGCGCTGCGGCAGCCTTTTTCCCCGTCCCAGGAGAGCTCTGCGTCATCTGAGTAGCTTCCGCTGGCCTGCAGAGATAGCGGGTAGCTATGCATAGACAAATCACGGCAATCGCCCCTACGCTTAAAAGTCGCTTGAGTTCCTGGCAAAGATGCATGCGTGTGAAGTAGGCCCGCTCCGCCCGCGCCTCCGCAGGTGGCGGGTCTTTGCTCGCTGCGGCATGGTCTGAGCCTTTGGCGCCCAGATACCCCACCATTCCTGGCAAGGAAGGGCTCAATGCTACTCAACCAGTACTGGCAAAGTATTTGACGAGATTTCTTCAAAGAAGACTTCGGAGCTCTATTTGCTAAGAGATTTTTGAAAGAAGGGTCCAGCGCTATCGACCCAATCATTGCTGAAAACATGTTTGCATTGATATTCCACAGAAAGGTTGAGTGCTGTCAACCCAAAAAAAGTTCTGTGCGTTGAGATTGGAACTCTATACTCAACCGTTATTTGTAAAATACATGACAAGTAGGGTTTCAGAAAACATGTTGAACACAGTATACGCACCCAACCAATTCTGTCAACATATTCTGTTAGATTTCAATCAAGGGTTGAACGGCTCAACGCCTTATGCCCAACCATTGCAAGCAAAGGGTTTGCGTTGAGGCTTCAAAGGCGGGCGGAACACTCTCCGCCTATTCATTGCTGCTTCGAGATTCCAAAGAAGCGTTCATTATTCGACACCCTTGCCACGTTTAGGCGTTCAGTGCTCCGCAATTGCCCATGCACTCGTGTTGAGCTCGGCTGTCTACGCGCAGCAAAGTGGCTCAAACAGCTGATTGCTCAACCTCGCAGGAGTTATGGTGAAAGACTCGTGGGTCACTGCTTTGAATGGTTTGGCGGAACGTTGGGAGGCGGACAGCTGCATTCGTCGCCTCGCCAGAGAGACGAACTCAATTCTGAGATGGTCTGACCCGGATGCTTGTGGCATTCCCTCTATGAAGCTTGCCAGATATGGGCCCCATAATTTTGGACCCAGCCGACCCTTTTTTAAAACTTGTTTCTTGGGAAGCTTTCCGGGTAGTGTTTGGTGGTAAGTGGGGTTGCGCAATCTTTTCTCAAACAATAGACTTTTTTGGCAGTCAACAGCTTGAAGGTTCGTTCATATGAATTTGTGCTGTAGTTTAAGTCCGGGACACATGTTGTTGACGGAGGTTGAGTTTGGAAAGCTGCTATCTCTTGGCCCAAAAAGCAGCCCCAATTCTGAACGAATTCCTTCAGCCTATGATTCTAGTGTTCCCCATTAAATCCTTCAGGAAAAACGTGGCTTTGAACTTCCACGTGCTCAAGCACCTCGGGGAGGTTTGGGTGGAGGTGTACGATTTCGAGGCCGTCGGCGCACCCCGCACACCGCCACTCCGAGCTCTGCAGCGGCAGGCACCCTGGCAGCAAGTCTCCTGGCGGGGGACAGGTGTGCAGGGTCAGGGCTGTTGAGCCAAGGTGCAAAATTTCTGGAGGCTTATGCAAGCCGATGCCGCTGGGAACTTCATGCCCAGTAAGATTGCCATACACGCCCAGAGCTGGGGCTGCAGAAAATTGTTGTCGCACGTGTTTCGCCGGATGAGAATTGGGCGAGCTCCACGGGTTCCTTGCACGAATTATGTTGCACTGTGCTTTCGACATATAGCAGCCCTTTGCATGTAAGACCAGCCGTGTTTACACAGCGCGTGTGCGGATGTTGCACTGTAGGATGAGGACGTGGTCTGTTTGGTGAATATATTCCGACGGCATTGGTACCATACAAGTGACGAGGCGTGGAAATTTGCGCTACGCACGACCTTGGTTCTTTTGATGTTATTTTTGTCTTTTAAACCGCGCATTGTGGTTTAGCGCATGAGCGCACGATGTGGCGCAGACTGGGCGACGAACGCAGGAAGCCGGCCTTGAAGAGGGTGAAGAGGAAGAGCAAGAAGATGACCCGCTGCTGGCTGACGAGGGGGACAAGCTTGCGATCGACGAAATGCCCATCTGCGAGGATGGCTTGGACGTCGACTTCGACCCATGTGAGGACAGGCAGGCGATGCAGAAGGCAGACGGGACGCAGGGGCTGGAAGCGGTTGACCCGTCAACCTGGGAGACGCTTCCTCTAGGAGACGCGTTCTCTAACGCAACGCCAGCGCTAGTTCAGGCCGAAGCGGTTCACGTGACGAGTGTCAAGAAGGAGGCCATAGACGCCGTGACTATCGACGAGCGAATTCTACGTTTGAGGCAGGGTCTACCAGTTTACGCAGCTAGGGTTGCGTGAGACGATCGTTTGTTCTAGTGGGAGGCAGAGCTTGGAGACTATTAGGATGAAGAAGTCCAGCACCCCCGCTGCGTCGAGTGCATCTCGCTTGCGCTTCGCGTGTGTTGCTAGTTGCGAATTTGTACGCCAGGCTCATGATGTTGCATTTTGACATTTGAGGTAAAAATGAATGTGGACCTTACCATGGAGGTGGATGCCCCTCAGCCCTTTTTAAGTGCTGCGTGATTCAACAGATTGAACCCCGGCAAATCGATGCCTGCGCAAGGACGAGGTGGCTGGCATGAAAGAGAGCCCTTGCTGTCTTCTTCCTGCTCAAGCTCGGCAGGACTTAACGAGCGGCGCAAACAAAATACCATATATGCACAAATTGAGCTTGACAAATGTTAACTTTTTCCGTTTGTTTGTTTTTCGTGGGAGGATGTGGAGCCAAAGCCACAGCAGCAAGCCGAACTCGTTCCATCCCCCAAGCCAGAGCCAGTGGACACAGTCCGTTGCGAGGAGAAGCCAAACCACAAGCCAGACCCAGTGGACGCAGCCCATCACCAGCCCGCAGTTCCCCAGCCAAAGCAGGAGCCCGCAGCCCCCGCAGCAGCCCCCAAGCCAAAGCTGGAAGACGCAGTTTGTCAGGAAGTGGCAGCCTTTAATCCTCCAACCCCCAATCCCAAGCCAGCGCAAACGCCCGCAGCCCCCAATCCAAAGCCAGCAGAAGCAGCCTTCCAGGAGTGCGCAGCGCCCAATCCAAAGCCAGAAAAAACAGCCGACCAGGAACCTGCCGAAGAAACAGCCACCAGGAGCCCAGCCAATCCAGAAGACGCAGCCCACCAGCAGCCCGCAGCCCCCAATCCAAAGTCAGCAAGCAACCCAAAGCACGCAGCCTTCAAGCCAAAGCAGAGGCGCAAACCAGCACCTGCCGAC